ATTTGACCCTCAATGACCTCATGACGTCATCATGATGGCCTCCGAACTTAAAGTTTCAATTTGCATATTATGACGTCAGCATATTTTTGGAAAATTGACTTTATCTCTGTAAATATTGATCAATTTTCTTCCAAATTTTGTTATGTTCTAGCTGAGACAATGTTCTACAAATGTAATTATCACAATCTTTTATTTTGACAAAGGCATCAAGGCGTATTTTTGTGATTAAAGGAGGCATGTCAATTTTTTACATTTTGCGTGTATTCTCTATGGGACTTGACTTTTTCTCAAAACTTGATTCTACATTCCCGTCTTTCACGAGCAATATCTCCGTCGTTTTAGCTTCGGTGTTGCTGAGCTTCGAGTATGTCGTAGCTGTGACTATAAGCTATCACAATTGTGGCCTTTATTTTTCGATCAGATGCTGGGATCTTGCTCATATGTTGCAATGTGGGATTTGAGAATTCCATTTTCCGTTTACGTGTAATCGCTATGGGAAATGTTTTGGTATATCGGTAACGCACTTGACTTCCGACCTTGAGATCCCTGGTTCGAGTCCGGGCGTTTCCAACAATTTTTTTTCTTCACTTTTTTTTCTTTTTGACTTTTCACTGATCATAAGAATTGAAGACAGACGTACATAGCGAGAAATCATCGACCACTACAGTAAAAAAAAAAAGGGTCGAAATCTTAGAGTTATCTTTGACGCCAACAAAACCAGGGAGTCACAAGTGTCAATCAATGTGAAAATATCATGCTACAGCCTCTGCATCTCTGTGACGTTCGAAAGTAATCTCACACCAAAGGCGGCAAAGCAGCTTGTGGAGTTTGTCACGTACCGCATCTAGCTCTTTACCTAACGACCTCCATATGCGCCAATTTCAGGAGCTACGTACACCTCGCCACGGCCCTCCCCGCATCACAATGATGGCTGAACGTGGCGCTTATGGGCGGGATTTACGTCACAATGTGACTGTAACAATAACAAATCGAATGTAATGAATAAAACATCAAATGGATTATTACTAAAAATATGTCTTTTTGTTATCGTTCTGAACTAATTATATTTACCGTAGTGAGGTGCCTCGCATACGATTATCTCATGACCTGGTGTTGTCGATGATGATTGGTTGAAGACCATACCTTTGACAGTTCCTCTAATGACCGTGCCATCGGACAGCAATGAAGAGGGACACACGACCTCCTCAGGGCACTTCGATACTTCACAATTTATACCTAGAAACATAGGGGGATCTTTATAAATGTGTTCTCTTTCAACTAAATTATTCAATTGATTCGAAATGACACTCACCTTCACAATATATATATGGTTACAAGTACAAGGAGGTGAAAAGCTTGAAAGCAAAGCTTGTGTTAGGAACATGCACCATCAACAAATACAAACAAGATACTTGTAGAAATTCAGGATATGAATGCTTATCTTTGCATCTTGGTAATGTCATCGAGAGTAGGAAAGAAAATACAGAGTAAAGGAAAATCGTGGCGGAAATGTAGGCCTTAGATGATAAATTTATATCAAATTACGAGGTGTACCATTTTTGACCGTTCCATACTATATGAGGTGCCATGAAGCTATTGTAACACCGCCAAGACTGATTACAAATGAAAGTGTACTGAGATATCAATCACCTTTATCATCTACAACTTCCATTGTTAACTGGTTGGTTACTATTACACTTTTCTGAAACATTGATATTCATTCAAACCTGTCTATTTAAGCCACCCAAGAACAGAGAAAGTGGCCACTGAAGACTGTTGGTCATTCTAGACAGATTCTGCAACACACATTTCTTTCTTGAGGAATACAAAATGCATGACCACTATAGACAGCTGGCTGTTATATAGAGATAGCCAGTATGACAGGTTTGACTGTATGTAGAACTATTGATATTCTATTATTCTACTATTTTCCTCTTTTAATATTCTTCTTTTAAGTATGTTTCATGGCAGCGGAATGGTACGTATAACAAATAAAATAATAATAGGTAGGATATTCATTGTCCGTCAGGATCGAAAACACATATATGTTGATTGAGACAAATGTCCAGTGTACGTCGAAAATTTAGTTCTTCCTATCTTTTTTTCCCGACAATACTTGGGCATAGATTTATGTTCATTTATACCTCAGTCACACCGCTAACCGGACCCCAACCCGACTCTTAACCGACCGATTTTCGGCCATTAGGGGTAATCTAAAGTTTGTGTACGGTTTGTTGTCGGTTTGTTGTCGGGCTTGTTAGTGTCACTTACGTATTGGGGTTACAACATACAAAAAGAGCCCGATGTCAATTATGGACTTATGTAGTCTTACTCTTCTAGAAGACATATTATACTCACCGTCTTCTAGCAGTGTCATGGCCATCAGCAGACGGATCAGATGCTAAACGAATCAAACAAACGATTTGAAAATGGTACATCGTCGAACTCCAAATTATATTCTTTCTATTCTTTAGATAGCAAAGTTGGTATATAGGTGGAGGGGGGGGGGGGGTGTTTAGATAATATATCTCTATTATATTATTCACTTTGAAATCCTCAAAATCATTGCCTTCTTATGCATGTCATGTTTTAACGTTTCACCTTGGTTTCCTAAGGGTGTCACGAAATCCTAATCTGCAGAAAAAACTTCTACAATTAGTACATTTGGAGGAACTATCGTTTACTGTCATTTAAATATAATGTTTCCACCAAAAAAGTGTTTTGTCCACTTCATTCCTCTCGACCCAAACGTCGTAAATGGCTAACTGGCAATAATTGCAATAATAGCAATGAACGATTTCCTGCAATTTGTCCCTTACGAGATAATGTTTTTTTGTTGTTGGTTCCTTTCATCCAAATAATTATGAGAATATCTTGACTTGACCATTTTACAACCTTAGTGATACCAGGAATTTCTATTAGACAAAGGTCGTAACATCAAGAGATTTTCATTTTTGAATGTCGTAAGGAACAAGTTTCACGTAATCGCCGCAATATCGATACCGATGTGGCGATCTGAAGATACGTAAGTAAATTGGACCTAATTATATTTACTGTAATGACGAAATTCCTAGCGCAAAAAAATGGAAAGAAGACAATCATTACCGAGGTAAACATGATCCTGATGATGAAGACGATCTTTATCGCCATTGGTCACTCAGAATAAGAGAGTTCAAAAGATCCGTAGCCGAATAATCTCGAACAGACTGAAAGCAGGAGGGTGATTTGAAGAGCGTTTAGGTCTTGCAGCCTAGAAATACTTTTCTTTTTATATGAGATATGGAACCAGATTTTGTTGTAAGCAGGCAAATCTAGAAAGCGTGAGAATGAATCCCCGTGGAAACAATGGACGTTGATTTGCAAGCAACTGATCCATGAGAAAGGTAAATGGCGGATTTTGTTTAGTCTGCGCAAAAGTGCCTCTTCCAGGCAACCACGGCATTACAACTGGGATAATAAATATTTTCAAATGTGAATTAAAATATTGCATGCAAAGTAAACATAATATTTATGGACCCAATTAAATAACAAGTGTCGCCAATGATGTTCATGCCTTGGCAAACGGTGGGAGGTAATAACAATGCAAAGCATACTTTGCTGAAACGTTGTCATGGTAGTATTAAGCCAGATAAAATGTCAGCCATGTCAGATTCGTAAGCACAATGTATATAATCACCACGATGTTATTTTATATAAACAAGTATTCCTTCTTTGAGTCACGATCAGTGCAATATAATGGGACCATTAAAATGGAAGTTCACTCTGACATTAAGATTATTAATTATCTTTCTCCCCTTCTCTCCCAAGATTTCGATCTCTATCTCTCTCTCTCTCTCATTTCACCTGCCCTCTCCGCTCTTCTCTTCTCTCCTCTTTAATCTCTCTCTCGATCTCTCTCTCTCTCTCTATCTCTTTCGCTTCATTTCTCCCATGTGCTTGTTAAGGACGAAAATACGCCATCAACAACGGATGAAGGATGTGGACAGTGCATAATATTGTGTAACGCCCAATGTACACGAGGCGTTATTTGTGTACGCGCCTGATAGTTATATAAACAGATAATTTCCATTACAAAACTTTAGGAATTGTATTTGTCATATATCATATATTTGAAAGTTGTGTAACGATTCAAGCTCTATTTGCTTATGTTTCATCACCTTTGTGTGTTCATTCTTCAAACTGTATATTAGTTGCAACTGTCTTGTCTTTGATAAAACAATGTTATTCTTTTTTTTCACGTGAAGTTAATTCAAATGGATTGTAAAATTGAAAATGATTTGTTATACTCTATTAATTTTTCATGTTAACTTCAATGAAATGTGAAATTGTGAACATGCATAAATAAAATTAAAAAAAAAAAAAAAAAAAAAAAAAAAAAATTATATACCATATATATATATATATATATAGACCTATATATATATATATTTTTTTTTTAAATTTAGCCCTTTTGCTATCTAGACAGAGAGTTAGTTCATCAAGGGATCGAGCCTATATAAATATAGCCAAGAGGGAAGCAGAAAAAATCAGATCGAGAAGCAATTAAGTTGAGATGAAATCGAACGAAAATAAGGAAGTTATGATCACTATATAGGAATAGGCTCTTTGAATTGGCTAAATCGGTAATGTCTCTGTAAATGTATGTCGGACAACTAATTGTCCCATTTGTTCCAAAACACAAAATGACAAAAGAGAAATTTTACACGACAAACGGGCGAGTTAATCCACTGACCACTGCCAATTTGTGATTTGCATAGACTTGGTTATCTAATATTCCATACATAAGGTATGGAATATGGAATATTAGATCACTAAGTCTATTCATAACTTGCTTATCGGATTTTTCCGATTTATTTTTAATTGTTTTAATTTGTTTTCTTCTCGAGAGCGCCGAGTGAAGTGGACTCCTATAAGTTATACCGTATCGTGGGATTAGGAGTCCACTGTACACACTGTACTGTCACTGTACTGTTATGATCGAATCTCTTTTGAGTGGAAAAACAAGTGCTCCCTCTCAGTTCAAAATGTTACAATCTCTTCCGGTCTCTTTTGCCTTTCAACATGGCTGACCAGGTGCGTGTGGAAAAAATGTTCATTGAGAAAATGTCAAAAATAAGTTATTTCTTCCTCCTATACTACCAATATGAAATTTTGATATGGTACATGAGAATATAAAGGTCACATATTTCTTAAGAAGAGTTGGTCGGATGCAAGTTAGCGTGATAAAAATACGTTTTGCCGTAATGGCAGCGCCGGTGAAAGAGGCTCGTGTCCGTTTGTGATACGGCATTGAGCAGCATGTGCATGCGAGTGTGAGAGACGTGGGTGCTGAATGCACATGCATTGGGCTGTTGGTCGCGAGAACTGTCGGCGCAGCATAGCTGTGTAGCCTAGTGTATGTCGCCATGTTGCGAATAAGTCGACAGAAGCTAGAAGTGAGAGATGAATGAGAGTGGCTAGATGAAATGGGTGTTTAATTAAATAAGACTAGGCCTAAAGAAGGCGGTATTTGAATAAGCCCACGGCCACAACTTTGATTTATCCAACTCTTTAATTTTTATTCATCTGATTTCATTTCATTTATCAACCAATTTTTGGCGCTTTAGGCTAATTCAAAATCATATCCATACTTTGACCCATAACTCTGGCGTCGAGATACCCTACTATAACATACCAACAATCGACTAAATCTTCATCAATTGTTCAGATAATGGTCATGATTTAAAATTTGTTGTGTTTCTTGCCTGTTTCGTGTCAATTTTCTTTTCTTTTTTTAAAGTATTTCCCCTCAAAACAAAGACTTAGGAGTCTATATTTTATAATATACTCTTTCTCACATGTCTCAAGGCAAACCACTGCACAATACAAATTGCATACCATCTAGCGTACCGTCAGTGCAGAGCTATCATTTTGAAATGATTTTCAGTAACATTTTGTTTTTCTTAAAGTTTTATTTTTACAACAAAATATGAATCAATAAATATTAAATGTCTCCTTCTGTAGTCTGTAGACACTTGCCCAGATTTATATAGACTAGAGTCTAGTCCAAACCTAAAATAAATGAAATAAAATGGAATTAAAATTTCGTGTGGTTGATGATTGCAAATGATGTTTTCTCACGATGGTCTACATAGCCTTATCATTAGGGATTGCTGATACTGCTTCAAAGCACTTCACTGATGCAATTATTACCACAATTTTTTATCCATTTTCTTTTTCTTCTTCTTTTTTTTGGGGGGGGGGGGGGGGAGGGGGGTAAAATAAACATTTCTGGTCTTCTTTATTTCCTCATAATAATATATCGGTAATCATTTTCAGCATTTGCCTCCATTTCTGGAGGGATATAGGTCTACATGTTTTTTCTTCTTATACCTGTAAACGATAATTCAATAGGTAAAACAAATTATGAAGAAGTCTCTGTTTTGTTCTTTTCTTTTTAAATTCTTTTCCCAACAAAGCTTTTGTAAATAGTGATATTAGTGCATAATTCAAAATAATATCAACATCTTTTTCTTTCTTCGAAAAAAAATCAATACCAAACAATAGATGACGTGGTGTGAAATTAAAATTAGACATGAAATAGTTCTTTATAATATTCTCTTCAACTAACATTTCCCTTTTGGTCTTAGTCATAAAGTAACTTGCCAGCTACCCCGGTAATCATGGTCCTTTCATGGAAATCATTGAGAGTACAAATTTATTTACAGCCAGCCAGGAAAAATGTCAGGGAATGTGAGGAAATCAGAGGAAAAATCGAGAGAATTTCATTTGCCCCTGAAAAATGTAGTCGGTCTCGTATTTTGTGTAGTGTCCAAACAGTATATTTACCGTTAGTGAATTGTAGGCTATCAAGTATTATGGATTTTCAGGCCTCATTCAGATGGCAATGTTATTTTTAAGCCAACCAAAATTGTAAAATGCTTCATATTCCTGTGTCTTAAAACACAGTGCAGTGAATATGGGCAGGATCTTGTTGCGTGCAATTGCTATTAATTTACATGCATAAAAGTAAAAAGTGGCTGTTTACCTTGAAGGGAAAAAAATATTTAAACAATGTCGGGGGCCACTTTTCAAGTTTGCTTGCATGAAAATAACTCTCTTGAATTTGTTTTGCATTGAACTCTATGCACATTTTGGGGGGCTCTTTTATGACTTTCGGGCTAAATCGCCCCGAGCCCCGTGTATTTTTTTCCCTGATACCTTGTCATATCTGAACTAGCCTCTAGTGTAGTGTGAAAGATAACCCCTTCAGGGAATTTTGCTTATCATGAAATGCTAGGCTATGATTTTTACCTGTCACTAACATTGTGACTGGGCTGTGAGCTACTTTTCAAAACAGAAACTTTGGCTTGCGTGAAATGTTCATGAATATTTGCATATGGTTATGAGTTGTGACTAGCGAAAGCTTCATACCCCCCAAAATTGAGTCTGTTTATGGAACTCTGAATGTTTGCAGTTGTCAATTTTCTTGGTTGTACAGTGTTGCCGCACAAAAGTTTTGGGCGACGATGTTTTCATTTTCTGTTATACCCTGTTCTGTTTTTGCTGAAGTCTTTCTCTATTTTCTCTTTCTTTAGTCGGAGAGGGCGTTTCAGAAGCAACCAACTGTGTTCCAGAACAACAAGCGGCTGTTAGCCAGCAACAAGAAGGCTAACAGGCTCGTCCGCAATGTTGGTCTTGGATTCAAGACTCCTGCTGAGGTAGGTTCAGAGCATAAGCAGCAAAAAAAAAGAGTTATGAAAAATATGAGTAAGAAAGCAGTTAAACCTAGCAATTTCATCAACAAAAACAGTGCTGGTAAAACCTACTGTGTTCTAAACAAGTGGCTGATAGCCAGCAACGGGAAAACTAACATGTTTATCCACAACATTGCTCTGCATTCAAACTCCTGCTGAGGAAGGTTCAAAAGCAACAACAACATATATGTGAAAGGGGGAAGGGCGGGGGGGGGGGGGGGGGGGGGGGGGCAGGGTCTTGGGACGCTAATATTTCTCCTTTCGATTAAATGCAATTTTTTTCGTCAGAAGTTGTGCTTAGGTATTTAATTTTGAATTGAGTTTTTGTTTAAATAAAATGGAAAACAAGGGTCTAGTGTACATGAAAGCCCACGATTGTATTCCTTATCTCGTGAAAAATCAAGTTTGTAAAGAGCTGGCATGGAAGTTCATCTGTTTTGATGATACACATGATAGAGAAGCTGTAGCATAAAATTTTCTTAAACTTGTGTCTAAAGACGCTCCATGACTAACGAGTGGAAGATTGCACATGATGTTTCTCACGATGGTCTTCATATTCCCTTATATCAGGGATGCTGACAATGCTTTTAAGCACTTCACTGATGTAATCTTCCCCTAAAAATTTATCAAAGGTCAAAAGGAACAAAATATATAATGGTCCTTAGGCAGTGCCAGGTGTCACCTTGCTTCTTTCAACGGTCACTTGTCTTTAAAGTTTAGACTCGGCCCTAGATATTCACTACTCATATTAGGACAAACATAATTTCATACACGTACTATTCTAGGTGGAATTTAGTTAATTCTTCATAACTTTTCACAAGTCAAATTGTTCCTAAGTCTGTCAATTTTATTGACCAAACTATGCAAAACATATGTTATTTATAAGTCCGAAATTAAAGTATTTATTGCGGTCCCAACAGACTTGACTTTTGCAGAGTTAACTGTAGTTTATTTAATTTTCCTCCCCAGGCTCGCGATGGCCACTACATCGACAAGAAGTGCCCTTTCACTGGCAACGTTCACATCCGCGGGCGAATCCTGACCGGTGTCATCACCAAGATGAAGATGCAGAGGACAATTGTCATCAGGCGTGACTACCTCCACTACATCAAGAAGTACAACCGATTTGAGAAGAGGCACAAGACTATGTCTGTCCATCTCTCACCCTGCTTCAGGTAAGCCCTTCAATGTTTTTATGCCAGTGCATGAACTTCAGAACATACTTGGTGTTTTTACCAAGGATGGGGTGTTTGGAAACTTGGGCGTGCAACACCATGTCTAACCATCTCTCCCTCTGCTTTGGGTAAGCCCCAAAACGTTTCTCGCCAGTGCTTTATGAATTTGGTCACTTATGCACAGTTCACACCGACGCCGAATGTTGCGCTTTAAATCGGCAATCAATTTGGCGTCATTTTTGTTTACTTTTCCAAAAATCTCACAATCTCCTCAGATATGTTATGCTCTGATATCTTAACAAAGCGTGTCAATTGGTGACAGAGCGTACAAAGTGGGGTCACCGCTTTGAACCAAGCTCTGTTAAACTCTGTTAAGCTTTCCTACGCTTTGAGCAAAACTTTGATAAGCTTTGATAAGCTTTAATATGCCCTCCCCGCTTTACGCAATTCGTGACAGATCGTCTCAAATTTTTAAACAGTTTAAAAAATTTTGGCGCTCTTGCCGAATGTCCCGAATTGCTCAAAGCTTTCTCATGCTCTATTACGGTCTTTACGCTTTAATTAAGCTTTGTTACGCTTTGCTCGCCGATTTAATTCGCCATCAATTCGGCGTCGGTGTGAACTTAGCATTATAGCCAGACGCTAGGTTTTGTCTTGTGTCCAAAACAGGTTTTGACAAATTAAGTTGTCTGAGCTCCAAGTTGTCCTTTTCATAATTTCTCTCAGTTTAGACAAATTAAAAAAACACCCTAAATTGAAGTTAACTATTGAGACAAAAACCAGGCTGACTTGTTACATTTACTGAACAAAAAAAATGATTACCCCGAATGGCCAAGTATCGGTCGATGTGGGATCGGTTACGTCAGTGTGACCACTGTATTACACATTGACAGGTTGATGGAAGATTGCACATGATGTTTCTCACGATGGTCTTCATATTCCCTTATATCAGGGATGCTGACAATGCTTCAAAGCACTTCACTGATGCAATCTTCTTTTCCCATTCACCCATTCCCATAAGTACATAATCATGGGTATCACTAGATGGGGATAGAACACCCTTCCCCCCCCCCCCTCCCCACCTATAGCATATAGAGCAGGGATAGTATCATTAGTGGAAGTCATGCCCATGCAGCGGTCAAATTCTGAAGCTCTGTGGATTGACTTTTGAACGCATGTACATACTTATAATTACTGTTTTGTTTTATTGCCCCACTGTCCTACAGCTACTTGCTCCCTCTAGATAGAAAACTTCACCAATCGGTGCCTGTTGGTCCCCCATGGTCCTCTTTTTCTTATGCTAGTTGAGAGCTGAGTCACTGAGATAGCCACCTGTCAGTGACCTCGCTGTGTGGTCTAATCCCTTCAGGCCCAGTAGTGGCCCAGTAGCATTGACGGTCTTTATAGACCGTCGATACTACTGGGCCAGAAGGGATTAGACCACACAGCAAGGTCACTGACAGGTGGCCATCTCGTAACTCAGCTCTCTACTAACATAAGAAAAAGAGGATCATGGGGGACCAACAGGCACCGATTGGGGAAGTTTTCTATATAGAGGGAGCAAGTAGCTACAAGTAGGACAGTGGGACTTTAATAGATCTACGTGAACTTGAATTTGTGTCAAAATTATCCCTCCAAATATGCTATGGACCCCTTTTAATAATTGTCCTTCAGGTATCAGAATTTTCAGATATTTCCCATATTTTTGTCTTCAAAAGGGAAATCAAAAGCTTTTCTGAACCCCTTCTGAGTTCTCTATGGCAGAAAATGTTCTTACATGAAGTTGAACTGCCCTACATTATAACAAAAATGTTGTACTGGGGTCATTAGAAGGACCGGTAGGTCCTAACGAAACTTAGTCTCATTAGCAGTCATGTCCTTAATATGCGTTTGTGAATAATTATCAAAATCTCTCGTTTCTTTTGTCCTTTTCTGTTCTGTCAACACAGGGACACCAAGACCGGAGACATCGTGACCGTAGGTGAATGTCGCCCTCTCAGCAAGACCGTCAGGTTCAACGTGCTCAAAGTGACACAGGCCCCAGGCTCTGCTAAGAAGCAGTTTGCCAAGTTCTAAAACTGTCCGTAGACAATTTGGAGGGAATGTACAAATAAATTCACATCGCATCAACATGCATTGTTATTTGCATCATTTTGTTGAGTTGTGCTATGAAGCCCATGTTAAGGAATTTTAAAATGGTTACATGTGAATATTGAGATTTTTTAATTTGTTCATGAGAAGAGAGAGGGAGAGAGAAAGAGACATGGACAAAAAAGGATGAACGAGATGGAGAGAAAAGCGATTAAGATAAGTAGATGTAGGAGAAAGATGGACAGAGAAACAGAAGAAAAGGGGGGGGGGTGGTGAGAGAGAAGAGAGAGAAAGAATGAAAGGGAGATGGACAGAAAAAGAGAGCAAGGATGAGTGAGAGAGAAGAGAGAGAGAGAATAAAAAAGGAGATGGACAGAAAAAGAGAGCAAGGATGAGTGAGAGAGAAGGAAGAGTGAGCCAAGAAAGGGGGAATGAAAAGATGAACAGAAAAAGAGAGATGGAAACTGACGCAGTGTAAGTGAGAGAAAGATGAAGAAAAAAAGAGCGAGAGATATAAAAGAAAGCGGGAGAGAGAGGAAGAGGAAGCGCATCAGAACAAGCATGTTCTACACGTACAGTGGGATCAGCTCGACTCTATTTCTATTCACCTCTTAACATTTTTTTTTCTTCACTCTCTTCTATCCTCAATAAACAAGCGATATAAACCTCGTCGTGAAGATGAGGTTTTCATCCCCCCCCCCCCCCCCCCCCCCCCCCCCCCCCCCCCCCCCCCCCCCCCCCCCCCCCCCCCCCCTCTTTCTGATTTTGTTTCAGTCTTTTCTCTTGCTTTAGACGGAGATGGCGTTTCAGAAGCAACCTACTGTGTTCCAGAACAACAAGAAGGCTAGCAGGCTCGCCCGCAACGTTGGTCTTTGATTCAAGACTCCTGCTGAGGTAGGTTCAGAGCATAAACAGCAACAAATACACTCGTCAAAATGATAAGGGGGGAGGGTTTGGACAAGAGTAAAGCTCAGAATAAAAAGAAATATGAGAGAAGTGAACAGTTTTGTTTAGCCCAGGTAATGTCAACAACAACAAAAATAGTGCTGGTACTAACTCGCTGTGTTCTAAACAAGAAAGCCAACAGGCTCGTCCATAACATTAGTCTGGCGTTCGCAGTGGCGGATCCCCCCCTGGGAATTTTTTCTTGTAAAAACACATGATTTTTAGCTTTTTTGGGGGGATGGCCCCCCCCCCCCCTGGCGCTCAAGGGGAGGGTGCAAATTTCTGAGGGCCAAAAAAAAAAGTGCTCCCCCCCCCCCCCCACCGAGCGACTCTTCGGCCGGCGCGATTTTCAAATTTTCGGGAGCATAAAAAAATTAAAAAGTTGTCCCCTACCCCTGAGAAATCCTGGATCTGCGCCTCGGCGTTCGAGACTCGTGCTAGGGAAGGTTCAAAAGCTGCAACGACAAAAAAGTGAATAAGGTGGGGGGAGGTTGGGAGGCTTGAAATTTTCCGTGCAATTTACTGCCGTTTATTTGAGAAGCTGTGTCTAGTTATTTTATTTTGAATTTAGTATTTTTTAAATAGAATGTTAGGAAAGTGTGAAAGAAAGCCCACTAAAAATAAAGTTTGTGAAGAGCTGCCGTGAAATTTCATCTGTTTTGATGATACACATGATAGAGAAGCTGTGGTGTAAAATTTCCTTCAACATTTTCCATGGACACTCCATGAGCGGAAGATTGCACATGATGTTTCTCACGATGGTCTTCATATTTCCTTGTTATGGGGATGCTGACAATGCTTCAAAGCACTACACTGATGCAATCTTCCCCTCAAAACTTATCTGAAATCAAAAGGAACAAAATATATGGTCATGACTCATTGGGTAGTGGCAGGTGTTACAGTGCATCTAAGTAAACAAATTTGCTTTTTTCAAGTGTGACATGTCTGAACCGTTTTTACTTTGCCCTAGATAGAAACATACAAATGCTACTCATATTTGGAAAAACATAACTACATACACGTAGGTGAAATACAGTTAACTCTTCATAACTCAAAGTCTCACAAGTCAAATTGTTCCTAAGTCCCATCAATTTTTTTGACCGAACTATGCAAATTCCCAAGTCAAAGTATTTATAGAGATTCGACTTTTACAGTGGTAACTGTAGTTTATTTTATTTTCCTCATCCCCAGGCTCGCGATGGCCACTACATCGACAAGAAGTGCCCTTTCACCGGCAACGTTCACATCCGCGGCCGTATCCTGACCGGTGTCATCACCAAGATGAAGATGCAGAGGACGATTGTCATCAGGCGTGACTACCTCCACTACATCAAGAAGTAGACAAAATTGGAGACTCTGTCTGTCCATCTCTAACCCTGCTTCAGGTAAGCCCTAAAATGTTTCTTGTCAGTGCATAACATTCTTTATGTTTAGACCGTGCAGGGATGGATTGTCAGGTCCTAAAAATGTCAAAAGGTATTCTTAAACCCGGAAACTTACACATGCAAGACCATGTCTGTACATCTCTCCTCAGCTTTAGGTATTACACATCGACAGGTTGATGGAAGATTGCACATGATGTTTCTCACGATGGTCTTCATATTCCCTTGTTATGGGGATGCTGACAATGCTTCAAAGCACTTCACTGATGCAATCTTCTTTTCCCATTGAACATTCCCATAAGTACTTCATCATGGCCATCACTAAATTGGGGTATGACACCCCCCCCCCCCCCTCAACATCGCTTATAGAGTTAGAGTAGAGACAGTTGCATCACTTATGCAATTTTTCCCTCAATAACTTATCTGAAATCAAAAGGAACAAAATATATAATGGTCATTGAGTATAGTGTCGGGTGTTACAGTGCATTTAAGTACACATTTTCACTTTTTCAAGGGTTGCATGTCTTGTCTTTGGCCTTAGATAATATAGATGCATACACTCCTCATATTTGGACAAACATAACTTCATACATGTAGGCGAAATACAGTTCACTCTTCCATAACTCAAACTCTCACGAGCAAAATAATAAATGTTCATTGGGTAGTGGCAGGTGTTACAATGCATCTAAGTACACAATTTCGCTTTTTATGCCTCCGTTACGAAGTAGCCGGAGGCATTATGTTTTCGGGTTTTCCGTCCGTCCGTCCGTCCGTACGTCTGTACATGCGTCCGTATGTCCCTCCCTCGTGATCGCGTGATCTGAAGAACCGATCGATGGATTCATGCCAAACTATGGTCATGTATGTATCTTGCAGAGCCAATGAACTGATTAGATTTTGGGGTCACGAGGTCAAAGGTCACAGGGCTCATTATGTATGCAAAAACAGCTCGTGATCGCGTTATCTGAAGAACCGATTGATGGATTCCTGCCAAACTTTGGTCATGTATGTATCTTGCAGAGCCGATGAACTGATTAGATTTTGGGGGTCACAAGGTTAAAGGTCACAGGGCTCATTATGAATGCAAGACCAGCTCGTGATCGCGTTATCTGAAGAACTGATTGATGGATTCCTGCTAAACTTAGATCATGTTTGTATCTTGCAGAGCCAATGAACTGAGTAGATTTTAGGGTCATGAGGTCAAAGATCGTATGAGAAATTGCTTGTAATCATGATATTCTGAGAACCTGTTAATGGATTACAATTGAACTTGAATTTGAAAAATTTCTTCTGTTTTGGTTTGTAAAATTGCTCTATGACGGAGGCATGATTTTCGACTGCGCGCAGTTGAAGTTCCATCTAGTTTTTCTTTTTTTTCAAGGGTGACAAAGAAAAAAACATACATACGCTACTCATATTTGGACAAACATAACTACATACACTTACCGGTAGGTGAAATACAGTTAACTCTTTATCACTCAAAGTCTCACAAGTCCGATTGTCCCCAAGTCCATCAATTTTTGTGACCGAACTATGTAAATTCCCAAGAGTTAACTGTATTTTATTTCGTTTTCCTCATCCCCAGGCTCGCGATGGCCACTGCATAGGCAAGAGGTGCCCTTTCACCGGCAACATTCACATCCGCGGCCGTATCCTGACCAGTGTCATCACCAAGATGAAGATGCAGAGGACGATCGTCATCAGGCCCGACTACCTCCACTACATCAAGAAGTATACAACCGATTCGAGAAGAGGCACAAGACTATGTCTCTCTATCTCTCACGCTGCTTCAGGTAAGCCCTAAAATGTTTCTTGTCAGTGCATAACATTCTTTATGTTTAGACCGTGCAGGGATGGATTGTCAGGTCCTAAAAATGTCAAAAGGTATTCTTAAACCCGGAAACTTACACATGCAAGACCATGTCTGTACATCTCTCCCCAGCTTTAGGTATTACACATCGACAGATGGATGGAAGATTGCACATGATGTTTCTCACGATGGTCTTCATATTCCCTTATATCAGGGATGCTGACAATGCTTCAAAGCACTTCACTGATGCAATCTTCCTCTCCCCTTCACCCATTCTCATAAGTACTCAATCATGGGCTTCACTAGATGGGGGCACGGCACCTCCCCCACCATTCACCAGTCAGATTCTTGAAGCTCTGTGGATTGACTTTTGACTACATGTGCGTGCTTTTATCTATTTTTTTGTATTGTCAGGATTTCTTTTCTCAGCTTTTAACCCTATCTTAACCAGGGGGGAAGGGGGGATCAATTTGACCCCCCCCCCCCCTGTAGTAAATTTTATATCGCGACTTCTCCAGAACTGCGGCAGATATAAAGTTTTCCTTTCATGACTTTTTTCTTTCGAGTCTTACGTATCTTTTGAAACATTTTTTTTGAAAATCAGACCTACAGTTATAAAGTCACGTGACCTTTTGTCTTTGCATGTCAGCCCGAAAATCGCTTATTTTTGTGATTTGTGTACAAAACATGGAAATACCATTTATTCTAAAAAAAGAGAGAAAACATTGGTTATTTGGTCTTGTTTAAAGTTTAAGTGTTTGTTTTGGGGTCAAAATAGTTAATTGTGGTTAGAAATGAAATTAAACAACAAAAACAATATAATACATAAGTTTAAAAAACAAGGAAATACATAAGAAATTATCAAAACAAGAGATAACATAAGGAATAACCTGGCTCTTCGAATTTTTTGTTGTATAATTATTTCAAATGGTCTAACAAATATATGTAGCGAAAAAGAATGCTTAAAGATAAACTTGAGTTCTGGTAAAAAAAAGAAAATGAATTCTCACAGAATCTAACGAAACAAATAAATGTCATGTGCCAAACAATTTTGGAAGAAAATGTATACTGGCTGAGTAATGAGCATAGAAAGACAAGGAAATCAGGGTAGTACTAGCCCCGACACCATGTGTGTTGTCCCATATACATCTTTCTGTGTAAGTGATTGTTACTTTACCAAGACTCTGCCAAATTTATGATGATTTTGATGACTCCAGAACCTTGCATTACACACCATTACTTACATGCTATATGATCAACTTTTCTGATCCATTCCACAACTTTTCTTTCACAATGCAATCGCATTACCAGAACTCAAGTTTATCTTTAAATATGAATCATATATGTTTGCATAAATTACCATAAATATGCAAATGAGTGAATTAAAAAAAAAAATTGAAATTACCAGTATAGTATTCTATACACTTCACTTGACATGCATGCAATTTTTTGCGGGGGTTGGCTGTGAAACGGCAGAGATCTTGGGGGGGGGGGGGGGGGGGGGGGGTCCCCCCCCCCCCCCCCCCCCCCCCCCCCCCCCCCCCCCCCCCCCCCCCCCCCCCCCCCCCGGTAAAAACCTGGTCTGAAATAGCCCGGTTAGAATAGAGTTAAACAAGGTATTAAAGGTCATTTGTAGTAGGTGCTAAGAATAACTTGGTCTTTTATTAATGCAATCCTTCATATATGTAAATGTGAATAATTATCAAAATCTCTTTGTTTCTTTTGTCCTGTTCTGTTCGGTCATCACAGGGACACCAAACCCGGAGACATTGTGACCGTAGGTGAATGTCGCCCTCTCAGCAAGACCCTCAGGTTCAAAGTGCTCAAAGTGACACAGGCTCCGCTAAGAAGCAGTTTGCCAAGTTCTAAAACTGTCTGGAGATAATTTAGAGGGAATGTACAAATAAATTCACATCGCATCAACATGCATTGTCATTTGCATCATTTGTTTGTGTTGTGCTATGAGGCCCATGTTAAGAAATTTAAAAAAGGGTTAGATGTGAATATTGAAATATTTAAATTGTTCATGAGAAGAGAGAGAGAGAGAAAGAGAGATGAAAAAAAGAAGGTGATAGAGATGGAGAGAAAAGCTATTGAGAGAAGTAGATGTAGGAGAAAGATGGATAGAGAAACAGAAGAAAGAGGAGGGGGGGGGGGGGGGGGGGGGGAGAGGTCACTTTTTTTTTTTTTTTTGGTCCCCAAATTTGAAAATTTGACACTTTGCTCCGTTGGGGGGGGGGGGGGGGGGGGTAAGGTCAGCTTTTTAGGTCAACCATGGGAATATTTTTTTGTTGTTTTTTGTTTAATAGACAAAACAAATAACAAAAAAAAAAAAATCAAAAAAGGGGGGGGGGGGGGGTTTAGAGAAATTTAGGGGGGTTTACACACAAAAAATTACCAAAGGGGGGGGGGAGGCACATATTAAATTATGGATTTCATTGACGGGTCCCTCGGAAATTAGTGCTAAGCAGGTCACAGAGAATGTATGATTTAAACTATTAGTAAATCCTTTAGTGCATTGTTTTTTGTTTCCCTTCAAATTTCATTGTGAAACTTTCCATATTTGATCGACATGGTGTATTTGCATATGGGCTATGGTTGCAGCGATGGATGCGGTGACATCGCACATGTAATATGTATATTAATGTTATTGAGATTTGGATTATTGGCAACGCATTCAATCAAATTGAAAAAGATGCAATTCATAGTTGTACTCGATAATTCTCAGTTTACATATTCTCTCTCTCTCTCTCTTTCTCTCTCTCTCTCTCTTCTGTCTCACCATCTTTCTCCTACATCTACTTCTCTCGATCGCCTTTCTTGCTCTCTCTCCCTCTCTGATATGCCTGCTCCCTGTCGATCTATCCAATCTCTCCCTCTCTCTTGCTCTCTCTCTCTCTCTCTTTCTCTCTCTCTCTCTTTCTCTCTCTCTCTCTTGTTGTTGTTAGTTTTCCATTCATTGTATGACTCTGCTCCTTCCTACAATATCAAGTTGATTGTTAAGCAGGCGCGGATCCAGGATTTCTTAGGGGAGGGGGCCCAACTTTTTTTTTTTTTGCTCCCGAAAATTTGAAAATCGCGCCGGCCGAAAAGTCGCTCAGTGGGGGGGGGGGGGGGGGGGGGTTACAGAGCACAATTTTTTTTTTTTTTTTTTTTTTTTTTTTTTTTGCTCCCGAAAATTTGAAAAACGCGCCGGCCAAAAATTCGCTCAGTGGGGGGGGGGGGGGGGGGGGGGGGGGGGGGGGGGTGAGCACATTTTTTTTTTTTGATCCTCAAAAAAATTTCAATTTGCACCCCCCCCTGAGCGCCAGGGGGGGGGGCCCAACCCCCAAAAAAGGTAAAAAATCACGTGATTTTACATGATTTTTTTCTCAAGGGGGGGGGCCCGGGCCCCCCGGGCCCCCCCCCCTGGATCCGCCACTGTTGTTAAGTATAAGCCTACAAGACGTCTTCGTTCATCTCAATCCTCCTTATTAGTTGTCCCTAAGACGCGCAGTTCCTGGGGGGGATAGAGCTTTTTCTCATTCTGGTCCGTCCCTTTGGAATAAGCTGCCACTTAGTATTCGTAATTTAACTACCCTTCATGCCTTCAAAGTTGCTCTAAAAACCCATCTCTTTCTAAACAGTGCTATTTAATCATGTCAATGTAGCGTAATAATTTGTGTTGTTTTAGTTTACTTTATTTTAGTTAAGAATGTTATATTTTTGTGATAGTAATACATGTATGTACAGCGCCATGAGCGTCAGAGTCTGGCGGATACCGGCGCTATATAAATATCCATATTATTATTATTATTATTATTCTGCCTCACCATCTTTCTCCTATACATCTACTTCTCTTGATCGCCTTTCTTGCTCTCTCTCCCTCTCTGATATGCCTGCTCCCTGTCGATCTATCCAATCTCCCTCTCTCTTGCTCATTCTCTCTCTCTCTCTTTCTTTTCTCTCCCACCCTTCTATTTTTCATAATTATCCCTCTCACGTCAGGAACAAAAGTAAAAAAACACGAGAAGAGGAATAATGACGTCATTACGTTTAATGAGACTGTTTTGTGCACAATGTGTCAGAATAGAGAGCAGCTGATTAAAACATTGACAATTAACAATCGTCCTTTACACGTTTCCTCTACATATCAGGGGTGTTTCACAAAGATCCTAAGTAGAACTTAACACTAAGTTGAACTTAAAAATTATGGACAGCCATTGGAGCCTTAAAATGAAATATATTCAAAAGCAGAAATTCAAGTATTTTAGACTTGTTATGAATTCCACATCCAGAACATGAAGTCTCCTTGATGATAGAAAATATGAATGATTTGAATCAACATTTTATGCCTTTCAAAATAACTTTTATAAAATATTTTCAAAGATGCTAATGGCTTTCCATAATTTTTAAGTCCAACTTAGAGATAAATTTAACTTAGGATCTTTGTGAAACACCCCCTGGTTTAACAATGCAAGGCAAAGTGACAAACAAAAGCTGAGGAGGGTTGTAAAACAAGCCAGCAAAATAATGAACCATACTGATGACCTAGATGAAGTCTGTAAGGAAAGACTAGTATCTAAGGCCCTATCCATTATGTCTGATCTTACCCACCCCCTTAATGACCAGTACATACACCTAAGAAGCGGACGAAGATTGAGATCTGTTAAAGCAAGAACTAGTCGCCGCATTAATTCATTCATTCCACTTTCCATAAGAGTAGTTAATAAAACCTAGTAAAGAATAGAGAATGTGAAAACCATGCAAAATACCCTCATTGACGGGTTACACGAATATATATATTGTTTTCGTATACTTACTTTACTGTTGTACCCCTACTGTTATACCATATCAAGGAATAATTGTTAACACAAAATACCTACTTCAGATTAGAGCATATAAGAATTTAAAAAAAAATGGAGGGTATGTAAGAAGAAAGAGAGATTAAGAAGAAGAAGAAGAAGAAGAAGAAGGAGAAGAAGAAAGAGTATTTAAATGTCTATGTTTCATATTCATCATGATCATGTATATTACTTTATATCAAATGTATACTAAAACAGGGCCCTATGAATGTCAATTATATGTTGTTCCTATGTTCATATGTTGAAGCAAGATTGTTGTGCATAAACAATTATCCTATATGGACACAATAAAGAAATGAAATGAAAAATAAAGCACGTGGACAAGAATGTGCCCTTCAATGCTTTTCATCAAACAGTCAGATTCTCCAGTGAATCGAATTTGATAACCTGGGGGGGGGGGGGGAGGGGGGTTTCATAAAGAGTTCGTAAATTTACGCATGACTTTATGAACGACTTGTATATGAAATGCCAGATAGGATGCCCAAAGTGTTTTCTGATATTTCCAATAACCTCAATTAAATTATGGCAAAAAATAAACTTTACATTAAAAATGGTTGTTATAATACTAATCTACATCTGCACAGTTCAACTTAATAAATAATAATCAATAATGATTGAGCATCCCATTTGGCTTTTCATATACAAGTCGTTCGTAAAGTCATGCGTAACTCACGAACAGCTTTATGAAACACCCCCAGCTTTCAACAAAACACTATACATTAGGCTACACAATATAGGCGTATTGATACTATACTTTGAAACTGACTGTAAATATTGTATTATATATATTTATTGATTTTGTTTAATTTAAAAGGCAAGGTTCCGAGTGGGGGAGGGGGGGGGGGGAGGGGGGCAATGTTCTGCATGAATTTGATGGCTATAGGGTTAATGTCAGCTAGTGATGACTGATCACCAATGATTATTTTTCTCGCATTTATTTGACAAAAGTCTCAATAAACAGAGAAGTCGTCTGACCACACGAAGAAGATCCAGTTAGTCTGCTTCCCGAACGTGTCGATGCTACTATTACTTGGAGGATTACGATGCTGTTAAAATAAAAGAAAATGGCAAATATAAAAATGGATTAAATATATAATTGTTCCCATTTTTGTTGTTGTATCCTTACAATGTGCACGCAGCGATTACATTTCAGAAACAGTAGTTTGATTCTATATGTTGCGATTCTGATAGTGGGTTAAGCGGGATAATGAAAATCTGTGCACTCTTAGAGCAGTTTAGAATTAGGTAATATTTTACATATAAGAGGTAAAAATGGGAATATGCATGTTTGTTCGGTGAAATGGACCCAACTTTGGTTAAACAATACAGTGTTGGTAGACTCTCACCCAACAAAACATGCTGGTCCCCTTTACGAAAATATTCATAAGAGGATCGACACATTTTGAGAATATATCATCGCCAGAGATACATATTGGTCTGCAAATTAACTGGAAATTGTACTCGATTGAAAATATATTCATATAGGTTTGATGTTCACCATTGATCATTGATCGAGGATTCATAGTCTATATAGTTCTGGACCCTTTTATTGATTTTGTTTTATTCGCCGACTATAAGCGTTAATTAAGCCGAGTGATGGCGCGATCTTTAGTCATGGCCCCATTCCGAGAACCGGTCCGGAAATTTTCTCGGGATCGCGCCGTCACTAAAGATCGCGCCATCACTCGGCTTAACGCTTATAGTCGGCGAATAAAAAATTCAATAAAAGGGTCCAGAACTAGACTATAAGATTGACGGTGTACGCTCAAAACAGCCACACCCTCACAGGACAAGTATGTGGCTAATGGACTGAAGCCATCACTATGAACATGACGGACAAAGAAAGAGGACAAAATATACAGTTCCTCATTCTACCCTCAACAATTGCTGTGGTAGACAAAGCTAGGAACATCCCTTCACTGCTATTATGTAAAAACGTGTAGAACAGGATGGTGAACATGCACGTGACACCTGTTCTACACATTTTTACATAATAGCAGTGAAGGGATGTTCCTTTGTCTACCACAGCAATTGTTGAGGGTAGAATGAGGAACTGTATATTTTGTCCTTTTTCTTTGTCCGTCATATTCAAATTGCATGCATCTGATCATAAGCCCGTGACATACCTTTTGGACAAGATCAAGATGCGGATCTTTAGTGCTTCTTATCGGAACATAGCTACTTTTGTGATCCTGTATAATAGGGCCATCCCTTCAGCTGGATGTCTGTAGCACCAAGAGGAGAGAATGAAGCTTGTCACAACTGCATTACAATAAGTGAGTTCGTAATTAGGATTTGCGCATGGGCAGATAAAGATCATTCGTACCCAAATTGTAAAACCATTGAGACGAATACTCGGATCGTGCTCATGAAAGTTATGTAATCAGTATTCATTTATGCACCAACCGTGAGTACATTTATCTGATACACAGATGGAAGTATTCTTCTCAAGAGGGCAAACAAAAGGTATTCATGAAGCACATCTAGGACTTTGGCAGTTATTATTCTAAGATGCTCAAAGTGGAACTTTGTGTAACATGTGTAAAAGATCTGCGGATATTTGGGGTCATTTTGTACCATGTGCTATATCTGTAAACTCCCTTTTGTAAAACTTTTGAGACGAATACTCGGATCGTGCTCATGAAAGTTATGTAATCAGTATTCATCACTATATGGCAGTGATTATTCTAAAATGCACAGGTGGGAAGTATCCATCGTGTCTAAGATCTGTGGATATTTTGGGGTCATGCGTTCGAGAGCTATTTACGAACTCGCTTATTAAAAATCACTATAAATCGGCCTATAACACTAACTTGTACACGAAATTGAACGAATAATAATGAAATAATCATACACATTCCTTTGTCGTCAAGTGACAGTATGATTGCATGTGATCTTGAGAAATATACATGAAAGGTCAATTCATTAGACCGATATTACGTGCCTTAATAAAAATTATTTTATTCACCTGATATATGAATAATAGTATTTCAATAGTCAGAATGCAACTGTATATATTAAGTGTTGCTAGGTAGGTCAAGCCATAATGTTTGTCCAACCTGGCAACGACTAATGTATGCTGTTCGGATTCTGTCTATTGAAATACTATTATTCTTATCAGGTGAATGATATAATTTGTATTGAGGCACTTTACAAAGACTTGTGCATTAAATTTGGTTACATTACGAAAATAAGATCATGTGATATTTAAGCCTCGTCGGGTGCCGGAGTATTTAAATGCCATGTGCGGGATTTGTAGCAGAGTTTATTTTGTTCCGTTACTATGGTAAGGATGTGCTGCTAGTATAGGCTATAGGGGCGCGCCCAGCCTCTGAGAGAATAAGCTATTTTAAAATGTCTTTAAATAATTAATCTTCTTAGTAACTACTGAAGCTTCGGCTGACTTTATAAATAATAAAGTGGACTTCAACTGTATATCCGAGCTTCTTTCGTTTTCATTTTGTTTCTGAAGTTGTAATTGTCACCGACCCATTGCGGGCCCATTACAATAATGACAAACAATAGTTCTATTGCGCATATCACAACGCATGAAGTTCCTATGCGCGTTTATTTTAATAGAGAAGGAGATGAAGCAATTAAAGTACGACAATACTCTTTTAGAGGGATGTACTACATGCAATGGAAGAAGAAGTAAAGCAGGGTATTAATGAAATGAGAATAAGGCGGTGTCACACAGAAAATTAATCCCGACCGATCTTGAATAAACCATATCTTAGAAATCTAGTTTTTTCATTTACGTCGGTGACAGACTGGTGACAGCCCGGGTGCCCCCCCCCCCCACTCCGAGAATGGACGGACCCCATGTGTGTTACCAAAATGTCCTTTCGTAACAAAAGAAAAAGGTCGACCCGTATTGACTTTACACACCGAACTTTTGCTGAAAAGGGGGGGGGGGGGGAGGGTGCTGAAAAAGGCTCGTATAACAAAAGAAAAAGGTCGACCCATATTGACTTTACACACCGGACTTTTGCTGAAAGGGGGGGGGGGTCGCTTGGAACACGCATATGCGTACCCTAAATAACACTGAGTGGGGGCCGGGCCCGGGTGACAGACAGGCTACGAATAAACCGGATAAATAAAATCCGGATTTTTGATGGGCCATATTGCGCATGCACCGTTTAGGTAGATAAGCATTGTGACACCACGCATTTAAACGTGTGATGTCACAATGCTTTTTTAAAGGGATTATTTCAAGATCGGTGTCAGACAGAAAAATCCCTTCAAAAATCCTTTCAAGGAAGAATTATCTTGCTTCGTTAGAGGATTTTTGAAGGGATTTTTGAAGGGATAATAAATTGATGACAGACAGCCATTTAGAGGATAACTAAAATCCGGATTTTTGGCCTCTGTGTGACACCGCCTAATGACATACATATCATTTCAATAATGAAAACAACTCTGGGGGTGTTTCACAAAGATCCTAAGTTGAACTTTTAAGTTGGACTTAAAAATTATGGGAAGCCGTTAGCATCTTTAAAAATATTTTGGAAATGTTATTTTCAAAGGCACAAAATGTTGATTCAAACATTCATACTTTCTATCATCAAGGAGATTTCATGTTCTGGATGTGGAATTGATAAAAAGTCTAAAATACTTGAATTTCTGCTTTTGAATATATTCCATTTTAAGGCTGCAATGGCTGTCCATAATTTTTAAGTCCAACTTAGTGTTAAGTTGTACTTAGGATCTTTGTGAAACACCCCCCTGATCACATTCAATTGTGAACAATCCCCTACTTTATCATCAAACCTCAGTGCACACTTTCTGGAAACTTGTTTTGATTATGTCAGCCAATCAAAATGTGTTCCCAAAACAATTGAAAACCTATCTAATGTCTGAATTTCTTAGTTAAGACGTAGTGTATTTCAAAATATGATGTAATTAACGTTGTTGAATTATATTTAATTATGTTAAATTATTTTCGTTCAATGTACTTACCTTGTTAGGCGCCTTGAGCATCTCTTGGGGTGGATTTGTGCGCATTATAAATGTTGTTATTATTTATTATTATTATTATTATGTAAAAACATCATTGTGATATTGGCACAAATATACGGTTATTGGATTTTTGTATAGGTCGAGTGTTTTGAATTATTATGCTTTAGTTATTCGTTTAGTTGGTTGACAACATTACAATGAATAAGCGAGTTCGTAATTAGGATTTGTGCATGTGCAGATAAAGGTAATTCGTTCCCAAATTGTAAAACCATTGAGACGAATACTCGTATCGTGCTCATGTAGTCATTTATGTACCGACAGTACATTCTGATACACAGGTGGAAGTATATTCTTCTCAAGAGGGTAAACAAAAATTCATGAAGCACCTCCATCACTTCGACAGTGATTATTCTAAAATGCACAAGTGGGACGTATCCATGGTGTAAGAGATCTGTGGATATTTGGGGTCATGCGTTCCGAAGCTAATTTACGAACTGGCTTATTGCTTACCAGCTGTATCGTTCTTGGTGTTCTCACTGACATTCAACTCATCAGAACTGTCGATCTCATCTTCCTCGACTGATGAAATACTTGCTGCCACGGCAAATGCAATCAGAAAGTAGAGAGCAATCATGGTTTTTGACGCCCGCATTTCAAAGTCTAAGGAAAATAGAATCAACATGAATTACATTTTGATTATTGGTCAAAGCTACGGTGAAATTGCAACATAATAAAAAATATTAGTATAGAATAGTGACGTACTGAAACTTTCCTTTTACCGCTCATCAAGAATGAACAGAAAGCGGAAATCGGACAATATGAAGTAATAACGGAAACTGAGAGAACAAGTTGCGCGAAAAATAACGGGCTTCGAGACGATTGGCTGCCGGGAAAAAAAGGGAGTTGCGGTTTGCTCTGATGAATGCAAGGTGGAAGGCTTCAGAATGTCCACATTTAATCATATTGTTCGTTTTCTGAAACCAAACAACTGAGAATGTTTTTAATGCCCTGTTCAAAGACGATGTTCCCGGCCCACTTCTGCACTGCTGTAGTGCATGTAGTTAACGGCTTTACCCCACCCTCCTTAAGAATACGATGATAAGGATTCGACACATTAGTTGCACTTTCACAGAATAGAAGCAGGAGAATCAAACATTTAATCTGTTCATATTAATTACTTTTTATTTGTTAAATATCTTTTCTTAAATTATCCTACCATCTCATACCATACTGTTTGATGCTCTTATATGTTTTTTGTATATAATGTTTTTCATGTTTATGTTCTCATGTTCTCATGTTCTATGTTTCATGTATTATTCGACCAATATCTATTTTTTATAATAATAATGTAAAACAAACAAATATACAAACTAGGTGAACACACCCAAACAGGTCAAAAACCTGGCTTTTATTGTGTTCACCATTTTCCAATTATCCACTTAAGTTTTTAATGTATAGCCTGTACCTTGTTTCTCTTTTATTGCTATACTTGTTTTGTTTTGTTTTCTTCTTAATCGTTTGATTGAAATGTCATAGTTTTACAATGTTTTTATTGCCTATTGACTGTTTTTTACAGATAGTTTTTAATTGATGTTGGATTTGGAAATAAATGATTTGATTTGATTTGAAAGAAACCGTGTGGAATCGATCAGAAAAGTTGATCATGTAGCATATAAGTATTGGTGTGTACTGCAAGGTTCTGGAACTTATCTTCAAAATTATTAGAAATTTGGCCCAGTCTTGGTAAAAGTAACAATTAAGCACTGTACACAGAAAGATGTATATGGGACGACACAAACATGTGGGGTACATAATTGTGGTCCACCCTTTTAAGCTGTTACATGTCATATTTAGAATATGAAAGCATTTGAATCAGAGCCATGTAGGGAACATTTTTTTCTCTGATGTTCTTCCACACTTGCATAAAATTAACAATATAAACGCTCACAAATTATTTTTCACCTCTCCCCAGAACTCAACCTTCTCTTTAAAGATGCCCCATTTGCAGGCCAACTTAAAATGAAAAGGACATTCCAATGGCATTCGAAAGACAATACTAATTTAGAACTTCCCTCAAAACGAAAGGGCTTGAAAATGGCTTTTAGTGGGAAAATAACGACCATTAGTTTTCGAATCGACTTGAGTGATTGCATTCACCTAAGTTAAGATTTTTAGACCCTTTTACCGAATGGTTGTAAGTTTTGTGCTGCACAAAGATTCAATCAGTTTAATTCACTTTTTTTTAGCGCTCTAGATATCATTATCGACACAATTACAAACTGACGCAATCAGAAAGATGTCTCATGAGCAAGAGGCATAACGTAAGGACTGTATAGGCGGCCTACCTGATTTCGATGCGGTGTTCGAGTAGAATTCTGTGAGATGATGATATTCTTTCTCGTAGCTTGATGTGACGAAGCGTCTCTACCCAGATGAATGTTGAAGTAGTCTAGATAGCTTCTAGTTTTGTAGAATATCATTAAAGCCTGCCACGACCATCTGCTCGTATAAACTGACAAGTCACCGCATGTAAAATTGGATTTTGTGTTCACCATTATGCTGGTGGATAAAACTTTCCAAAAATCCGAGAAATATGACCTTGGAACAAATTGTTTGATTAATTTTTATTCAAACTTTTTATCATGGTAATTGTTCGTAACCGACAAGTCACCGCATGTAAAATTGGATATCGTGTTCAGCATGATTATGCTGGTGGATAAAATTTGCTCAAAATCCGAGAAATATGACTTCAGAACAAATTGTTTGACCATTTTTTAGTAAAACTTTTAATCATTGTCATTGTCATCATTCTGGCATCTCCATTTTATATTTAATTTCTAGTCTGTATCTTAACTACAGCCAGATTTCGTATTGTTTGGTAGATTGAGTATATATATCGAAGCCTGCCGTTCGTATCCCGCAAGTCACCACATGCATGTACTATTATTGAATGAATCGATCAGCGTCAAATAATTGATTTATCATCGCTCTATAGTTAATTATTTTACATTCTAATATACCTGCATTCGAATCGGTCATGAATGAACATTTTAATAGATATCTTAAATGTTCGTTTTGATTAATTTCCTCCCCATTTCTTTCTCCCTGTTAAATACTGATAAAATGTTCAATTTATCGTAATCAAGGCAAAATATTGTATTCATATTTTCTTTATGCAAGAGAAAGAGAGAGAGAGAATAATGTTAACTGAGAATTATCGAGTACAACTAGGAATTGTATCCTTTTCAATATGATTCAATTCGCTGCCAATATTCATGATCCGAGTATGAAAAATCCTCATAAGCCGCAACGTCGCTCCAACCATAGATCATAATATGCCAAAACATGAATATAAATAAAATTTACCATGCACCCTATGCTCTGACAGGCTTCAGTTGAAATCATAAAATATTTGTGACTGGCTTTAATAGCACTAGTTTCTGAGGAACCAGCCTTTGAAGATGACAGGTGACACGAAATAAGTGCGGTGTTCATTTCATTTATATCCTACGTCAAGAAATGAAAAAAACTAAAAATGTAAGCTTTAAATAAATACATCAGAAATCAAGTATGAATTCACACCTTTGTCAAAATTGCTCACAAACACACACACACACACACACACACGCACACACACAAAGTGTGCTTGCGAATAGAGTTGCCCACTCCAGGGTGGCTGGTGTTTTGTTGTTGTTGGGGGGGGGGGGGGGGGGTATTAGAGGACACTTTTTTGGGGGGAGTCCCCAAAAAAATCGCAACGACTCAGCCAGCCGCTGAATAAGCGGGGGGTGGGGGGGGGGGGGGGGGGGGGGTTAAGAGGACTTTTTTTTGGGGGGGGGGGGGTCCCGAAATTTGAAATTTAGACCCATCGACAGTCATCTACAAGGACTTTTTGTTTTCGAAAAAAAGGGGAGGGGGGGGGGGGGGTTCCCCCCAAAATACACAAAACATACACATAACACAAATTCAAGGGGGTTACCCCCCCCCCCCCCCCCGCGTACGCGCCTGGATTAGGTTGATATTGGAGCCTGTTGTTCGTAACCGACAAGCCACCACATTCATCAATGAATCAATCAACGTCAAAGAATTGATTTATCATCGCTCTATAAGTAATTATTTTACATTTTAATAAACCTGCATTCGTATCCACCACGAACGAACATTAAAGGTAAAGACCAGTTATGGTCATGCGATTGCATTGCATGTGAAAGAAACGTTGTGGAATCGATCAGAAAAGGTAGATCATCTAGCATCTAGCATCTGCAAGGTTCTGGAATCATCAAAATGATAAGAAATTTGGCCCATTATTCGTAAAGTTACAAGCACTATACACAGAAAGATGTATCGGGACTACCCTATATCTGTACAGACCATGAGAGAAACAAATTTACCAAATATATGAATTAGTAGGCGGTTTCCCAGCAAATTTTTTATCATCATGTATTAGTCAAAACATATTCTTTCACATGATTGGTAACGAGAGCTTCCATTTCATTTTTTTGAAATTGGGGCGTTTCCAATACTGGTCTTTACCTTTAATTAGGTATCTTAAATATTCGTTTTGATTAATTTCCTCCCCATTTCTTTCTCACCCTTCTGATAAAATGTTCAATTTGTCTTAATCAAGGCAAAATATTACATTCGTATTTTCTTTATGTAGAGAGAGAGAGAGAGAGAGAGAGAGATGGAGAGAGAGAGAGAGAGAGAGAGAGAGAGCAAGAAAATAAAATAAAAATGAGAGCAAGAGATAAAACAGGACAGAGAGAAGAGGGAGCGCAAGAATGCACTAGAGCTCGGCACAATCAAGGGAATCAGAACAAGCATGTTCTACACAGTGGGCTCAACTCTCCTCTATTTCTATTATATCCTCAACCTTTTTTTTTCTTCCTTTCTCACTCTCTTCTATCCTCAATACACAAGCGATAACCTCTTCCTTCGCTTTCATAAACTCGTCAGTTGCATATATATATACTATAGCAGGGGGGTGTTTCACAAAGATCCTAAGTAGAACTTAACACTAAGTTGGACTTAAAAATTGTGGACAGCCATTGGAGCCTTAAAATGAAATATATTCAAAAGCAGAAATTCAAGTATTTTAGACTTTTTATAAATTCCACATCAAGAACATGAAATCTCCTTGATGATAGAAAATATGAATGATTTGGATCAACATTTTATGCCTTTCAAAATATTTTCAAAGATGCTAATGGCTTTCCATAATACCCCCCTGGACTTCACCCAATTAGGGGTACTGGAACAAATGGGGGGGGGGGGGGGGGTGGTTTTGCGGGGCCTGCACCAGTCTTGGAAAGTGAAATGTGTACATGCAAGGCTCCCGATTTAGGGAGTTTTGATCCCCTGACCACCTAGGTGTTCTCTTCTCATCCTTTTCCCTTCTCTTTATCTCTTTTAACACTCAATAGGGGAAGGGGGTGCAGGATTATGGATATGTGCCCCTCCCCACCCAACAGGCAACTATATATGCCACTGCTGTTGCCCATCAAGTTAGGACAAACTTATCTTACCCCTTTTCACGAAATGATCAAGAAAATACATGCACAATTTATCTTGAACTTTATCTCTACGAAGAATAAATTATACTGTCATAATCAAGTGTATTCAAACTTTAATAGGCAAACTTTAACAGTTTACATCTCGCTCATTTCACCTGCTTCAGGTTTTCACCTTTACTCTATTGTCTTCGCTCTCATACATGTATATGGCCGAGACCAAGGAATATAGTCACCTGGTGCGCCATGGGGGTGTTTCACGAAGATCCCAAGTTGAACCTCTCTCTAAATTTGACTTAACAATTATGGAATGCTGTTAGCATCTTTGAAAATATGTTGAATTATATCATTCATATTTTCTATCATCAAGGGAGATTTCATGTCCTTGGTGTGGAATTTATGAAGTCTAAAATACTTGAACATTTGCTTTTGAATGTATTTTATTTAAGGCTACAAATGGCTCTCCATAATTTTTAATTCCAACTTAGAGTTAAGTTCTACTTAAAATCTTTGTGAAACACCCCAGACGTTATAGTTTTGAGGAATTCTTGAACATGCATTGAGCATTAACGTGACATTTCATCTCGTATTTGGTCTGATTTGAGCTCTAGTAGAGCTATTAATATCAAAACCCCTCTTAAAGTGTTGGGAACCTCAACAATGTGATGGCAGAATTTCACTTTAATTGTTTCATAATGTGAATGAGGATGCAAGAATTTTCAAAACAGATGTGTTTAAAGTTGAATATTGATAACAGAATACAACATTTAGGTTTTCTGCGTTCAACAGTAAACCCAAAGTATTCTTTTACATGATCTATAAATGTACTAGAATCTTAGATGTCGTCAGTAAAATTGGACAAGATGAATTGGATATCACAAGCAGTTTCTTTTCAGTATTATTCAATTTCTTTCTCAAACTTTCACTATCCTCTTCCTTTCCCTTTTCTGCTTCCATTCAAAACGACTTGCTATTGGCTTTTGAATACCCTACCTGTGCCACATTGTATGTACTTTGGCACCATGAACTTGTATGATCTCATGATCTATTTCTTTAATCTTAAGTATGTTGAATATTAATTTAAATTATTTGTATGCGCCTTGAGCATCTCTAGAGATGGATATGTTGCGCTTTATAAATATTGTTATTACCAAGGAATTTACCACAAAAAATACTTCAACCTTGCCAAGAAACACACACCCAAGTAAAAATGAAATACCACAACTTTCATATTTCTTTCCTGAATACCTGTTTTATTTCCTTCACAAATAGGTCAAAAATATGAATTTTCTGAGAAACAGAACAACAGCTTTTAAACTTAGTCTTACATTGAAATAAATGTACAATCAAAAATCAAATACAAACTTAAGCTAGACAGTCATGTTTACTTACAATAGAAACATGAAACGTGTGTAGTTACTAGTGGTATAGGCTACCCTAGATTTTGCTGTATGTAGTCATTAACAAATACCGTGCGAGTCAACAAAAAGTTTCCACTCAGAAAAATTGGCATTTCATTTTAAAAGTCAGCTATGAACGAAAGGTTATCATACATGCTTTGAAAGATTGTTATATCTCGAATCGTTTGGTATCAGTTTTGTGTGGTGTGTGTTCACGCTTGGATGAACAGGAGGCATTGTTTGCGAAAGTGCAAAAATTGACTTACGCAGAATTGAATGTATCAAATGAGATGCATTGCATATGCTTTATGCAGAAGCGAAGTCACACACACCTACAAACACACAGGCACACAAAAGTTCTTTGATATTTGATAATGTGCGGCATGATTAATTTTGTTAGGGTTGTTATTTGGATCTGCAAAGACAGAATTAGTACCCAAATCCCAATTATTTTATTCTAACATTACATTTACTACTTTGGACTAATTGATTTTTGCACTCTCGCAAACAATGTCTCCTGTTCATCCAACCGTGAACACATACTTAACATAGATGATACCAAATGATTTGGGATAAAACACTGTTTCATAAGATGTATACTGATTTACTGGTAGATGATTTTTTTTAAATTAGCAATTTTCTAAGTGTAAACTTTTTTTGCACTCACACTGTACAGGCCTTAACAAACATACAGGAAGAATGTGAAATTAGTAATTATCAAAATATGAGAGGAAATACACTGCTGTACAAACTTCACAAGTTCATAGTCGAGAATTAGCCGTGGTTGAAATATCTCGAAAAATTCTACACAAGTGATTTATTGAAAGGCAGGAATATCCAGGCAAAATTTGTCAAGTATACAGTCCATCTCCGTACATGTATGCCAAATGGAAAATGAAGAAATCTAAATCCTGACCTTTTCAAAATTTCCCAAATAACCTTTAAATATTTTGGTCACTAAGCGCAGCATGTAACTTTTAAAGTATTATTCATTTCAGATTACAATCATTATCATCTTATTGTAATTCTTCTAGTAGCTAAGTAGAACAAGAAAAACCATGAACATATTCAGCAAAATACAAAAACAAAATTATAATAAAAATGAGATTTTCCATGAAAATCTTAAATATTACTACACATATGTGCATTCAAAGATGAAACAACGTTTACAGATAAACAGATATTTTCAGTTAACAACTAAATTATTCATAAGGTTACCCAGTTTTGTAATTTTTTCAGTATGTGAAAAATAGATTTGTCCTAATGATTCTTAGGAATGGGACATATAAGCTTACCGTACATCATAATGCATTCGACAAAGGGCTATACCATAATTCAACAAATCAACCTTTCATTTTTGAAAGATACCAACAACATCTAATTTACAAGAGGTATGAATGATTCAGGTGTTAACTATATGCTTTAAAGTGACCACAAAGTGGAGGGGGGGGGGGGGGGGGGGGGGGTTTACAATACATGTATCTTTCAAGTGTCTAGTTTCAACAACATCAGAAATAGTTACTAAAACAATCCTTGTATGTGCATGATTATCTATCTATCTACCAGTCTTATAAAAAATAGTATTCCGCACCTCGTCAACTTTGCTATTACATGTACCTGTACAACATCTGCAATTGCGTCTTTTAATGTGCAGTCTCATATTCTGCATCGTCCTGTCAATATAATTATTTTCAAACTAGCATCAGTTCACTCATTTTTCCTGTTTCAAAGAAATACACACATATGACTCAACTTCCTCAGTAGACCCGTTCACAGACGTGTGCTCACATTTCAAAGACATATCTACTATGATAGTTGCCCTAGGTGACCTACATCCTCATCCAAAGTTTGCCCCACATAGCAACACCCTATAAAAACTTCCAAATGCAAGAGGTTTGAAGGCCGTCTGTACTAGTGTGGACAGGAGGGATTAGACCATCCAGCAAGGTCACTAACAGGTGGCTATCTCATCAACTCATCTCTCAATTAACATAAGAAAAAGAGGATCATAGGGGACCAACAGGCACTGATTAGGCATTGCTTTCTATATAAAGGGAGCAAGTAGCTACAAGTAGCACAGTGGGGCTTTAACACAAGTTTGCTGAGAGCGCTGATGGAGTTAGAAACCACTGCAACATAAGACTCATCATCTCATGAAATTGACAAATAACAATGTGTGCAACTGTGCATGAATGTTTCTGGTTGTATGCTGCTGGATGTTAACACAATGGACCAAGAGGAAATTTACAGAAAAATATTATTTAATGCAGTCAACCAAAGTTTCCTCTAGAGATCAGGGACCCATTTCACACAGCCTTTTTCCGATGACAAATGACAAAAGTCAGTGATAAATCTGCTGATGACCAATCAGAAGCAAGGATTTCACTAGCTTATAACAAAAACTGTCATTTGTCACTGATGACAAGTCTTGTGAAATGGGGCCCAGGGGAACTGCACATCACATAAAAGGAAAGACACACTAAAGTCCATTATTAGGAGACACATGTGTAATACATTTTCATCTCACTGTGGACAATTCCCAGCCACCTTTCCTGTAAGGAAAACTAGTACGATAAACAATCTAATCTAAAGAATCAAGGCAATAAATGCAAATATTTTCTCCAGGAAGTTGCAATATTCATTAAGCCTAGACACACTTCATTTGAATTGGATTCTACTGAGATAGCATGATAATCTGTAAAGTTTCTCTCTAGATGCACGTACACTCATTCAATCATTGATCGCTGCCTTGAGGCATTCCCTGCACCACAATTTGTTTCATTGAAGGTTCCGGCGCCGGCAAGATTAAACCGGAGGCGGACGCCGCCTGTAAGATGACGTTGCTTTGTAGAACCTGATCTGATGCTACCGGCGGTGTTATAGGCTGTCCTACATGGGAAAGCATTGGCATGGGCGGTACCAGAGAGGGACTGAAAGATGCTGCTGCAGATGGAACCAAAGATTGTGATACAGAAGGTGCAACTACTCCAGAATCAATGAGGTGAACGATCTGGTTTGCCACAGCTTTGGAAGGACTCCCTGCTAGAACGGTGCTTTGATTTGGCGGTAGTGCTACCAATATTGAGCCCACTGCTGAAGGAACCTGTACCGAAGGAGCCATTTGTACTGAAGGTGCCATTTGCATCGAAGGCGCCGACATGACTGATACTGCCCTTCCAGCTGGTACCTTAGACTGCATACCCGCTACTGGTGCATGGGAACCAGTACTAAGAGCGTATACCGCTTGTGGAACCGGTGGTATAGGGGTTGTTATCATATTAACTACACTGGTATTGCTACCCGCAGCTGGATTTCCAACGTGGGGTATGGGTACAGGATTCTGCACCACTACATTTTGAGCTACTTGTCCTTGCGGAGTACCCCCTACAGCCTGCATCACAATTTTATTCCCACCCTGTGGTACCATATGAATCTGCATATTTCTTCCACTGGTAGCAGCAGGCACTGGTTGTAGGGGTTGCTGCACCGTCACTAATGGTACCGCACCTTGCAGGGTACCGCCAGTAGCGGTTGAATCATCAGCGGCGCATGGTTGGAGACAGAGTTCAGGTTTGGATGCCCCAGGCTTCTGCACGTAGAGAATCTTATATTGCTTGTTGTGCATATTCACTTTCAAGTTGGTCGGCAGGACAATGGTTTTCTGGACTCCGGTACCCGAGGCGCCCGCAGTCAGTTGTGCCGCCACACTTTGCACCTTCAGATTAGCCAACCTGTTGACATCTGGTGTTGATGGTGAATCAAGCTGCTGAACCCCTTGTGGTTTGGGTGAGAGGGAAATGACGGTTGCCTGAGGTTTGACACCGATGGTGGTACCGATGGTGGTACCTTTGGTACCGAGTCCGCCCAGGAGATTTGTTCCCACACCAGATGTAGTATCTCCCAAGATGATGCTCTGTGTCCCATGTAAAAAAAAGAGAAAAAAGAAGGAAATATCATTCATTATGGTTACTTCATCATGTTTGTTTGCATTGGCCTTGGTCTACTAACTGAAGGCAAAGGATGAGCAAAACATACAATCTCATATACTTTTTGATACGGCTGATAGTTCTTTGTTACTTTCATGAATAGTGATTGCAGAAAAAGAGTCTATGCATTTTCTTTGTAGGCTAGGATATTTATATATTTTGAAGCTTTTTTTAAATACCAGTCGACTTATTGTCCAATTGTATAGCTACCGACTGAAAACAAAACTGATTTTTTTATAAATATTTGTTAAATAATTATTATCTGGAGCATATTAAGATGCTATATAACTTATTTTAGTAATTCAAAATCAAACATAGATGTATTAATCTTAAAATCATTGGCTTTCTCATGAACGGCGGCACCACCACTCATTCACCCTGCACAGCGGAGTTTCCTTGCGTGAAAAGGGGAACTATTTCCACCCCCATAGTCCTTGCACACAAGCATGCCTGTAACCGAACAGTGAATGAGAGGCGACTTGGTTTCACAAGTTTGCCAAAAAAAGTTATGATTAGATTCCATGCATATACAGGTTTTCATGCAAATAATGAATGGGAAACACAGTGTATAAACAAAATAATTGTTTAAAGGATTAGAAAAAAAAGTAAAAGAGAAATTTAGAATGGAACATAATATAAGCCTGTCGTCATCAGCTCGAGACTGCCAAATAACCTGCTATTTTGACTATCCCGATCGCCAATTATCCAGCTACTTTGCGTCTTCATCTGCCCGCAGTTGCAATTAGCAGGATATTTGGTAATCATCCCAAGATATCTTGGGCTAGTTTGCAAAATATCCTGCTATTTGGCAAACTATCCCACTTTTTGTCCGGCGCGTCTTCACCAGCCTGAAGACTCGCACTATGCGCGAATGCTGAGCAAAATATCTCGAGCTTGAGTTTCAAGGTCGAGTACCGAGGTGATGAAGACCCGATTTGTAACTTCGGGCTCATTTCCCAAATCAGTAATAACGGGCTAATTGGCAATCTCGAGCTGATGAAAACAGGTCTACTGAGATAAATTAAAATTGTAATAAATGAATAATGCACAAACTAAGTTGGTAAAATCATGCAGTAACAAAAAATAACAAATCTTTGGATTGTATGCTCAGATTACTTTTTTAGAAAGGGTATAAAACACAAGATTATAACAAACATCAGGGTTTACCTGATTCAAACAGAGTTAATTTAAATTACCATGTATACTAAAAGTGATATTAGGGAGGGGAGGGGAGGGATGAGGGGTTGGGGGTACAAGGGATACATATTCCTCCGGCTAGTGAACCTTCTCTAGCATCCATAGCATAATGTTGCATCTTAATGTTTGTATAAAGAGTATTTCTAACATTGCCCAGTGAATTTGTCTTCTCACAAAGTCAAATCTGAATAGGATTAAAGATAAAGTTGAGTTCTGGTAATGCGATTGCATTGTGAAAGGAACGGTGTGGAATTGATCAGAGAAAGTTGATCATGCAGCATATAAGTATTGGTGTGTACTGCAAGGTTCTGGAATCATCAAAATGATAAGAAATTCGGCCCAGTCTTGGTAGACTACCGGGTACACAAACATGTGGCATAACAATTTGGTCCTCAATTTTAAGCTGTTACATGTCGTATTTACAATATGAAGGCACTTGAAGAGCCATGCTATTCAGAGAACCTTTTTTTTTCTCTGATGTTCTTCCACACTCGCATACTTACAATGAAAACGCTCACAAATTATTTGTCACCTCTCCCCAGAACTCAACCTTCTCTTCAAGTGTAAATAAAGTCTCCTGCTCTTTACTTTAACAGAATATTGTTTTTACAAATGGGGGAAAAAGGTGAATCTGCAGGTTCATTGTTGTGAATGTTAATTTGAAAGAAACTAAACAAAGCTAAGTCACTTTCTTGCAAATATGTAGTGAAATTAACACAAATGGGAAGGTTACCCAATGCTTAAAGGGGGTGTAGCATGACGAGACGTGTCATTCCAGTGGCCTGACTAGGGGTACGATACGACTACGGACAAGGCGACGGCAGTATTCATGTGAGTGCAACATACGCGAAACCGAAGCGTGAGGAGAACTTGCGGTCTGTTTTGCGAACGCTAGCGCACGCTGACCGTTATAATCAAGTCCAATGGTTTACGCACAGTTATCCAAAGTCGTAGATGGCGTTAACCAGTATTTATTTGCCATGCTACACCCCCTTTAACGGGCTTCATCTAGGTACTGCGATGAGGTCAGGTGAAAAGGTCACTCAAAACCGTGTTAAGAGCACCAAGGACATCAATAAATTACTGTTTCCCTAACAGTGGTGCAGTAACCAAACTTATCCTTCCCGAACAGTGAACTCTTGAAATTAAAAGTGAATTTTTGGTGAGCAACACTATAGTTACCAAGCTCTAACATGTGCATGTGGTGCCTTCTTGCTTCATGTGTACTGCTACCATCATGCTGGCAGATGATCAGCAGTAGCAAGATGTGCCTCTTGGTGATATGAATCTGGAAAGATCCTTGTATCCCTACTGTCTTTTATTCCAGCTGTGCCAATACCCTCATGGACAAAGCATCTCATCCATGGACACCTTATGCATTTCCTCTACTTGTTGTAGAGTGTGTTTGGTTGGCATGCATCTTCATTGCATTTTTTATATACCAAGTATAAACCCATCTACATGTTTCCACGCAGTTGTAACTATGTTTTTTTTCCTCTTCAGTCCCAGACTGAAAGCCATTTTGTACAGATCTAGGGGGGGGGGGGGGGTTTCACAAAGCCTTTTTTCAATGACAAATGACAAAAATCAGTGACAAATCTGCTGATAACCAATCAGAAGCAAGGATTTCAGTAGCTCATCACAAAACCTGTCATTTGTCACTGATGGTAAGTTTTGTGAAGCACCCCCTGCCTCATGATATGGAGCCTCGTTTGGTCTCCTTAACGTTCCCCTAAACATACAATTAACGTTCCACCAACGCTTTGGCTCCAGGAGCACCCAGGGCCCTGTCTTACAAAGAGTTGATATCAATCGCAACAACGCAAATAAGAGATAGGAGACTGCAAACTTGCGATTGATTGGAGGACATTCAATCGCAACTCTTTGTAAGATGGGGCCCAGAACTCACATAAGCTGCCTTATCTATTCTGCTTAACTTTGGCTTTTCCAATGTCCTTGATTTCAACCCAACTCTTGAAGCCGCAATAGCCTCTGGATGACATCAAGGTGACGTGTTCCCTGAACTCATCCCTTTCACTTAATTCTTTCAAGGATATGACAAAGCACTTCTATCTACTTCAAAACTTGTACCAATATTTATAATACTTGCAAATGTGTCCAATTAGATCTTAATTAAACTGTTCAACTGCATGGAGTTCTCTCATCTCCAGAATTATGGTAATCATGAACCCCTAAAAAAGAACATTTCTACCGAGACTAGGAACCAACCTGTTTGCCTGTATTCTTACATACTAAAACTCATTCTGGTCTATTCTCCTCATTATCTCATCTCCTTAGGAAGGCCAGTGACCTTTGAACTCTGAGCAATAACCATATTTCACATTATTTATCTGTGTTAATTGTAAATCCTCGTTTGCTTATAAATGCGTTCTCTTGTTAAATCTCATGTACGAGACAATCTTGCTCTGCAGAATGAGGAACAACAAAAACAAAATAATAAAATGTATTACAATTTCTCTAAGCTAATACATTCAGCTATTCATGGAAGAATGATTCCAAATGTTTAAGAACTCCTTAAAGATAAAGGTGAGTTCTGGTCATCCGATTGCATTGTGAAAAAGAAGGTGTGGAATGGATCAGAAAAAGTTGATCATGTAGCATGTAAGTACTGGTTTGTACTGCAAAGTTCTGGAGTCATCAATATTATAATAAATTTGGCCCAGTCTTGGTAAAGTAATAAGCACTGTACACAGAAAGATATGTATGGGACTACACAAATGGTGTTGGGGGCTACCAACCATTATTTCCTAATCTTTCTATGCTCATTACTCAGCCAGTACACATTTTCTACCAAAATTATTTGGCAAATGACATTTATTTGTAATCTTGAACATTCAGTGTAATTTTCGTTTGATTCTGTGAGAATTAATTTTTTTTTTTTTACCAGAACTCACTAATTATTTTAATTATTTTCATCCCATTACTCAGTACAGCTATCCTTATAAGGCATGTTTGTAAGTGCACTTGTTAACAACATGTTTTTTTTTTCTTAAACAGTCACAGCATCTATACCACATTCATTAATAGTTGGTTATGAGGTGACATTTTTCAGAGCCTGTGATCGCTTGTTCAAGCAGTTATTACATTGTCTGCCCCTGTTCATATCCCATACTCTATTCTGTAATGAAAGTTATAGTAGTACTGTCAGGCTTCTAAAAAAAGATGTTGCATTGCCCTTTGTGACCGACCCAAAAATCTTAAAATCTACAGTCGGCTTTCTTTACAAACAAAAAAAAATAACTGTTTTTTAGAGATAACAAAATATTAAAGCATTCAAAACTGAAAAATATCAGCCCAAAGAAGAAAAGGAAAATGATTTCTGACCGACCGACCAATGTTTTGGATTGGCACCTAAAGGGCAATACAACATCTTTTTTGTTTAGGCCTCATTGCAGTTCTTGAGGATTCCCTAAGCTACAAAGATATTCCTACTGACCCTGCGTCCTGAGCACCCTCACCTGTAGCAGGCTCATAAAGTGCACCTATGTTGCGCTCCAGCATATCATCAAAGTACTTATTCAGTAACTTAAATACACCTTCATCAGACTCAACCTCAGGAACAGTACCTTCAGAACTTGGACTTGGATGATTCCCTTGTTGACAAGTTTGAATATCAAGAGGCTCAGTCACCCTTGCCTTGTCTGATGGGTTCTTAGCCACGTCTTCAAATCTATCGCATATGCTTTCAGGTCTCTTACTATCACCCTTCTCCTCCGTTTGCTGATATGTCTTACCTAACACCATATATGGTTTGCTCTGTATGCGGACAGGCAGCTTAACAATACCCTTATCGGTGCCTTGCTTGAAGGCAACACCCTCAGCCATGTAATCATTGGAATTATCCCTAGCAGTTTCTCCCAGCCTTGTAGGAGATTGAGTGGTCTTACAGGTTACAGATTGGGATTTGAACCTTATCAGACGAGGTGCCTGTCCAAACCTCCCTGGTATTACCACTCCCTGGACACCAGACTTACCCTGCTTGGCATTCGTACATAATGGCATTTTGAGAATATCTATTAGATTGACAGGTGCCTTCCCTTGACTTGTGCTAGGTTTGGAAGCGTTATTGGATGAATTGCATGCAGCATGAACTGGGTCTTGATTAGATGGGGGTAGTATGTACAAAGTGCAAGGAGTAGAGGCTGGGAACTTTACCACTTTTTGGTCGAGTTGGCCCTGATGATGCGTTGCCTGCACTTGCTGCCTGGCACTCTGAGTGCTAACAGTGGCAGTGGTGGGATACACTGTCCCTGCATTGAAGGACAACGCAGTTCCTGGTGCTTGCACCTTCCTACCGACGACATTACCTTTGACACCGGGATTTGCAACAGTTAAGATGTTTCCCGCATTCTGGTAAGGGAGATACATGAATTGCTGGGTGCCTAATTGCACTCCAACAGATGGTTGTGGTTTTACAACTACCTGCTGTGGAGGGGAAAGAACAGTCTTGTTAGTTAGACCAGAGTGCTTGGTTTCCACAGGAGTACCATCACCTCGAGTCAGCTGCCCGTTTGGTAACAGGAAGAACAGTTGTTCCCTGGGCACTGTAGTACTTACACTATTTCCTGAGGATGCTATTGCAGTAGATTGATTCCCTGATGTTGGCTGCTGAAGTCCTTGTGTTTGAGTCAATGCCTGTTGCACAGAGATACTGCCTGGACTACCTATGATGGTAGACTGAACAATCTTCTGTGACACTGCAGGAGCCAAGGTAGGCATGTTGGTGTCTTGCAGCAAGGATCCCTTCTGACTACCAACTAGGTCAAGGATGGGCATGTCCTCTTGAACACCTGTTCCCGTCTGTCCACGAATGGCATTCTCCATGCTAACGCATAATCTCTTTTCCGGCAATGCAGACGGAGACAAGCCAGACCCATCAGTCATTGCCTCTGAAGAGCTAGCAGATTTGCTTGATCCACTTGAGCTGCTCTTGTTTGAGAACCATGGTGACTGCCTCGAGTTCTGAAGCTTCTGGGGCGATTCCTTCTTTTGGCCACCGGCAACCCTCATCTTTTCCACATGCTCAACAATCAACCTCTGTCTTTCTTCTGGTTTGTCCTTGAGAGACTCCCAAACTTTAGCATCTATGGTGAATGAAAACGTTTCTGTCTTTGTCTTCTTATCCGCACTAGGTGCCTCTGAGGCAGCTTGACTGGTCGTCTTGGTTTTCTTTAAGAATGGAACCTTCAATGTTGGTTCATAGGCAGACGTCTTAGTTGCTTTTGTGACAGGAGAGACAGTTGCAGGTTCACTAGTACCAGCTGTACGCTTCAGGATTCGGATAAACTTGTCGCTTGTGTCCCGTTGATATGCCGAAGCTGAATGGCTACTGGAAGTTTGAAGACCAGTCTTTTTGTATGGTTGGAAACTTCTCTGTGCTTCTCCTGGAACAATGTGCTTTGTCATCTGAAACGTTGAACCTGCCTTCAGGTTCTGCTTGAGTTCCTCATGAACTTTCTTGAGCTTGGTTTCATCCGTCTCTTTATCATCATCATGTTGAGCATATCTACCTTGAAGAGGAACCCCTTTGACGATCTGAATCTTGGATCTCTTGGCTTTCTTCTTATCCCTGATGACCTCCCTTTTCTGGGCTCTCCTGCGCTTTGAAGACCTCATTGTCCTTCCTGCAATCTCCACACCAGAGTACAGATCCACCTTCACTCCTTGATTCTCTCCTTGATTCTCAGCCCCTTCCGCACCATTGACATCCACACCTGGAACTGCATCCATTGCAACAGGTGTTTCGTAATCGCCATCACCATCACTGTTGTCGTACTCTGCGGTCTCATCGCCGTCACTGTCCGAGTCGCTGAGCTCGTCGCTGTCAACGTCTGAGCTGCTCTCAGAGCTGGAGAAGTCATCATCCACACTGCTTGCATCTACCGAGGAGGACTCTACCACTTGCGCTGGCTTCTTGACTTGTAGCTGGTACCAGAAAGCTGCTGCTTCCTACATCATGGGAGAACAAATTATGGAAATCATTGCAAAATTATGTCCTGAAGTATATTAAACTTTGAAGCCCCACTGTCCTACTTGTAGCTACTTGCTCCCTCTATATAGAAAACTTCCCCAATCGGTGCCTGTTGGTCCCACATGATCTTCTTTTTCTTATGTTAGTTGAGAGCTGAGTTAATGAGATAGCCACCTGTCAGTGACCTCGCTCTGTGGTCTAATCCCTTCTGGCCCAGTAGTATTGACGGTCTTTAAGTTATGTGTATTTTACTTTCTTTCTTGTGTCATTTTTGACAGACATGGCTCATTATAAATGTTCACTATTATTATTATTATCATTATTGAATAGTCTTTCACTATGAAAAGAACGTTACATGTACGTAAAGGTCATGCAAGTAAACTGTGATAGAAAATTGCATAGAAGCTTTGGGAAAGGTAAAGGTTTGTTACAAAGTAGACAGAAACTATTGTATTACAAGGTTTGGGGATCATCAAACTTTCTGAGTGGGACAGTCACATTGTTTGAGACTTCCCTTCCCAACCTTTACATTTTCTCACCCACTATCCTCTTTCTTGAGATTCGACCACCACACTGAACAAGGAAATAACATGACTAGGAAAGTATTGATCCCAACCCTAAGACCTAATGTAATATGAAGTACAGTACATGTTTTATTTTCCTCTTCGTTTCGGTCTCTGCACTTCTAAGGCCACCTTCTTTAAGCTTGTCATCAAAATACAAATGCTAAATTTCTATGACAAACCTGCTCTCAGCCAATCAAATGCCATTAATTCAGTAGCTTACAACAGCTATTGTAACTTGTTATTGGTAATAAATTTCATGAAACAGGGCCCAGGTCGTAAATAAACCTACAACACTTGACAGGAAATTTGCTGTTACCTGATTCGGACTAGGATCTTCCTCGTAGGCCTCAAACTCGTAGAAGAGCACCTCTCTGGCCTTGTGAACAACCTTCTGCAGCTTGGCCTCAATCGGCTCAAAGTCTTCGAGCATCTTGGAGAGTGTCTTGTGTAGCTCAGTGGTTCGACCCGACCTCTTGATAGGTTGTACAATCTGAATGGACAGATGAAAACCATAGCCATTGGATACATTACTAGACAGAAACATAAGTAGATAATAATACTGCAAGAAAGAACTTTGACACGACTGTGTAGCTCAGTGGTGCGACCTGACCTCTTGATGGGCTGTACAATCTGAATGGACAGATGAAACCACAGACATTGGATACATTACTATACAGAAACCTAAGGGGATATTAAACAATGCTGCAAGAAAGAACTTTGACAAGGCTGTGCTGTTGGAATGGCCTTGAAGTCCTCAAGATTCTTAATGCATGCAAGTAGTCTTAATAGATAGATATTAAGATAACCATCTATCATAACAGAGCTCGACTGACTGGCAGAGTTACCATCAATGGTAAGTTTTATGCAACGGGCCCAAGGAAATCAAGGTAAGTAGGCCCGACACCATTTGTGTATTCCCATATCCATCTTTCTGTATACAGTGCTTGTTACTTTACCAAGACTGGACCAAATTTATTATGATTTTGATGACTCAAGATCCTTGCAGTACACACCAATACTGACATGCTACATGATCAATTTTTTCTGATCCATTCCACACCTTTTCTTTCACAATGCAATCGCATGACCAGAACTCAACTTTATGTTTAACCCTACTACGGAAAGTTAATTGTCCTTGAATTCAAGTCCTGGGGGTGTTTCACAAAACTTGTCATCTGTGACAAATGACAGTTTTTGTTATAAGCTACTGAAATCCTTGCTTCTGATTGGTTATCAGCAGATTTGTCACTGATATTTGGCATTTGTCATTGAAAAAAGGCTTTGTGAAACGGGTCCTTGTACTTACCGTTTTTCTTCCTTTGACGATGGTCTCTTCTTTCTGGGCGAATTTCTGGATGAGCGCCCTGAAGGACTCCACGCTGTCACAGACCAGCTCAAATTCTCCCTCAGGAGGCAGGATCCCTGGGAGAGGTTGCGGGGGAGGAGGGGTGGAGATTCTCCCCATCACCTCCTGGTTCATATCACCCTCTGCTTGGTCGCCATGCACCACATCCACTGCCTCTTCCTTTGGTGCCAACTCTGCTTCGATCTCTGGCAGTGCTTCTCCTTTTTCTACCGGTTCCACATCCATCACTTCTTCCTTCAGTGCCAACTCTGCTTCGATCTCTGTTAGTGCTTCTCCTTTTTCTACCGGTTCCACATCCATCACTTCTTCCTTCAGTGCCAACTCTGCTACGATCTCTGTTAGTGCTTCTCCTTTATCTACCGGTTCCACATCCATCGCTTCTTCCTTTGGTGCCAACTCTGCTTCGATCTCTGTTAGTGCTTCTCCTTTTTCTACCGGGACATCGCTTTGTGCAGTCTCCTCTGAGTTCTTTCCAGTGTGGCCTTCAGAAGCATGTCCATCTTGGCCACTTACATGTTCATTATTTGAGCCTCTGTCCGATTCCATCGTAGAATCCACTTGGTTCTTACTGTCTTCTTTGGCACCTGAATCTTGGATGTCAATGGAATTTGAATCATTCATGCCGTCTTTACCAACAACTTCATCCACAGTGTCGATGACATTGCCGCACTGGTCCTCACCAGCGACCTCATTTCCAGATAGCTGGGCAACCCTGTCATCAATGTCCATAACATTGTTAGACTGGTTCTGGTTTAGGCTACTAGGGTCATCACTGGATATGATGTTCTCCAGTCCGTTCGTATCCTCATGGGCTTCAAGCTCACCACGGTTTTGGACCTTCTCTGATGAAGCTTGGACATTGTTTCCATTGATTATCTCCTCCTCTGATTTATTTTGGTCGACTTCTAATATTTTTAAAACGTTATCATCATCTTTGGAGTGAGTCACACCATCATTGGAATGCATCAGATCCTTACCGTCTGCTTCATCTACCTCCATCACACCATTACACAGGGCATGCTTTGAGGGGGATTCCCCTTTCACTTCAATTGGGGAACTCCCTTCTTGAGCCATACCACTCTCACTAGTCCTTCCTTCATCTTTCCCGGGTATACCATCAACATCATCATCAGCTGAAATTGTTTCAAGGTGCTTATCGTCAAAGTTAGCTATGCCCTCTTCTGTCTCCTGAGATACAGTCCCATCCTGATTTCCTGTCCTCCCCGGACTACCATCACACACCGCTGAAGACTGTGTTGCATCAGCAGATACCGTCCTATCAGAATTTTGGTCCTTATCTTCAACATTCGCGTCAAGGTTTTGTGAGTCGCAAACAACGTCTGTAGCGCCCTCTGTGTCTCCATCCCCATTATGGCTCTTCTCTTCTTTCTCCTCGTCCTGCTCCTCTACATCAGATCTCTCTAGTTTAGCAGCTCGTCTGCTCGATCGTCTGGTCGGTGTTATGATGGCCATCGGCTTAGCGGGCGTCTAAGGTCATAATGGAAGACAAGAAAAGGAAGATCAAAGTAAGCGATTTGATTTGTTTCCCGTGGAAATTCAGAACCTTTTCAAAAGACAATAGATATCATAATTTGATAAACTGATTTGTTATTGATGTGCATGTTAGAAAATAAATGTATACCTAAAATAGTGCATGAAATTCAAAGCAATGGCGGTCAAAAATTTTCTGCAGTACTGTTTAATGTAGTTCCCACAAAAAAAAATGTATAGTTACTTATCTTATGTTTATATTTGTGTTATATTTTTTTTTCCCACTCTTTGTTTTTGTTTATCTTTGCTTTACATTATGCTATGAATGCTTTGGGAACTATGCTTGTACAAGGCCTAAGGGCTTTATTTATGTAGTTCCCCATTTCATTTCTAAATTTGTTCATGAATAATTTTGTATCTTTTGTATCAATGTAATCTTTAATCAAGAATGAAATAAATGCGAATTCAATTCAATATTCAGAAAGAAAGGGAAAAGGGAGGGAACAGAAGAACAAACACACTTTCCAATCACTCAATCCCCTTGTTCTTTCATTTCTCCCATCAACATGTAGCAAGCTCGGTGCCACCCTTGATCACCTTAGATATTAGCACTCCAGCAAAGCAAAGAGAGTCAATGCTAATGCGTATTGACCTCTAGCAATGCATACTTGCTGAGAGGCAGGTATTTTACACAGATACACACACCACACACTATTGCATAGACTGCACACAATAGCACCGATGTGGCTGATCGGTAAATTTGACACTAGACTTACAATTTGAATTTTTAGATTTTTCTTTTTAATATATGTGTGGATATTAGTGGCCCTCTTTATGGCTAGATGCACACAACAACGCTTCCTCTCAGAACACAATTTTCAAGGGTACATGGGATGGAGAGCTCACCTTCTTAAGAGCTTGAGATGGAGTGGAACCATCTTTCCTGGGCCTCCCCCTGCCTGACGGAGTACCAGCGCTGGCCTGAGAAGGGGTTGCAGTTCCGTCACCAGTCTCCTTAGTTTTACCAATAGTCTCTGCTTCGCTTTCGGTCCCTGCATCTTTCCTGGGTCTCCCTCGCTTCTTAGGCCCTTCGCTAGCAGGTGTTTTACCAGCTCTGGCAGGTGTGGTACCAGTCTTATCAGTTGAGCTATCATTGGGGTCTGCGTTTTTCCTAGGTCTACCTCTCTTCTTGGGTCCCTCGTTGGCTTGAGAAGGGGTCCCAGTTTTGCTCTTCTTTGTCGGGCTCTTTTCTGCCTTTTCCACTTTCTGTGTGTGCATGGGTAGGTGTAATAGAATTTGGAGGGGAAAAATCAAATGAAACTAAAGTTACACTTAAAGCAAATAATACATCGTAACTAAAACATGTATGGGTTAGGATTTGGAGGGGGAAAGAATCAAATGAAACTAAAGTTACACTTAAAGCGAATAATACATCTTAACTAAAACATGTATGGGTTCAGGTTAGGAAGGGACTCCCAACCTACATTCAAAAATTTTGCTCAAAGTAATATAAAAAATCTTGAGAACTGTTGTGCGCCCATATACATTTTAGCAACAGCTGCAAAATCGCCAAAAATGAGATTGTTTTAATCTGCAGTCAACAGCTTGACAATCCCCTCCAAAGAAAAATTGATTCATAACTGGAAATTACAATGGATAATTTTCACTGGAATCCCTCGAAAACTCTGAAAGAACTTACATATAGCTCCATTAAACATTTTTTGCACAGGGCAGACCACATTATAATCCCATTATTATTACTTATAAATACATGGCAACATTATCTGCATTATCGTCAAAGTAATTATTCTAGTTATTATCGTAGAGGTGTTGTGGTCTAGTGAATAAGTCACCTGATTGCAGAGCACAAGGTATGGGGTTCGGGTCCCGCTGCAGCACTAATGTCCTTTGACAAGACATTAATCTACATTTGCCACTCTCCACCCATGTGTAAATGGGTACCTGATACAGACGTCATGACTGGTGAGTTTGATGAACCAATGAATATCCCCAAATTGGTGATATGTGAGATGCTTGTAGGATACTTTACAGGACAGAATAGCCATTTTGCCATTGAAAATGGCAAACACACACAAAATAAAATTATTACAAAAAAAAATTTGTATTTTATTGAGGAAAATCATACTTATTTGCTTCTAAAAATCATACGAAATATAACTAAATCGTACTGGTTGGCAGGTCTGCTGATATGCTTAAGCGCTAGTTACTTTGGCAGCTCGGCTATAACCAAGGTAATATGTTTAAGGTGATATATAAATATCCATTTTTATTATTTATTATTCTAATAAAAAACTTCAGTTTTACCTTTTTCTTTGGTTTTTCTTCTTTGATCTGAGCCTGGCGGTAGATCCTGAGATCGGTGGCCAGGAGGTGAGGGAAGTAGAGATAGCTAGCCTTCTCGTCATCTTCTCCCAATACTACTACGCGCTGGTCCTCCACAACGCTTGTATCCACACCAAACCATACATCGTAGTCAGTTTCCTGTGGAGCAGCAAAATAAATCCTTCATTAGAGCATATTACATCAAAACAATGATATGATGCAAAAATAAAAATAAGTCTCAACAAAGATGTTACATCATAACAAAGATATTGTTTAAAATATATTTCATCAAATATTAGAAATACATTTCACCCCCCAAAAAATATTACATAAAAATAAAGATGTTATGAAAATTGGGATATTTATGCAGAATGGTCTAGACCCAGCAACGTTTAAATGACATTTGCCCCCCCCCCCTCCCTTGAGTGAAATCTACTCTTATAATAATATACACTTGTATAAAAAAAAAAAAAAAGAAGAATATTAACTGTTTTTCTATGTAAAATGTGGAATAAATAAAAACTTCAAAAACTTCACTTCAAAAGTAAATACAAAACCATAACCTCTCACAAAATGCAGCTGCAATTGTAAACAGCTTTTTTCTTGGCAATAAATTTCACGAATTACCAAATTTAATGCGACGTTAGATGCAATAGGGTTAGAGTTAGGGTAGTTCCAAGCAAGGAATAAGGAAGTTAAAGCTTTTTGAAATGACTAGTCACTACAGGGCGATATTCAATTTGATGACATCATTTGTGGACAACTCTCCATGCCTTTTGTCTTTGTGAAACACCCCCCTGGACAAATAAAGAATAGCCCTTCGTGACGACACAGTGGATGGCTACAGGCCTGGTTCATACTTACAAATAGATGGTCACACATGCCCTTGAGGATCCATACTCTTTCATAGATAGAAAGGTCGTGGTACTGATGACCGGTCAGAGGATTCTTGTCACCAAGGACCTCAAAGAATTGCTCAGGGCAAATAATTTCAGTTTTACAGTATTAAAAAAACATGCCCTGACAAATAAAGAATAGCCCTTCTTAACGACACAGTGGATGGTTACAGGCCTAGTTCCTACTTACAAATAGATGGTCACACATGCCCTTGAGGATCCAGACTCTTTCATAGATGGAAAGGTCGTGGTACTGACGACCGGTCAGAGGGTTCATGTCACCAAGGACCTCAAAGAATCGCTCAGGGATGTAGAGATGGCGGGCAACCTGTGGAATGAGACAAGAATACATCAAAACTTTATTTGCTTATGGTTCATCACCTTTGTGTGTTCATTTTTCAAACTGTACATTAGTTGCAACTTGTCTTTGATAAAACATTGTTATATTATTTTTAATGTGAAGTCAATTCAAATGGATTGTAAAATTGAAATGATTTGTTAAGTTATATTCATTTTTCATGTCATGTTAACTTCAATGAATTGTGAAATCGTGAACATGCATAAATAAAGAAATAAATTAAATAAATTAAATAAATAAAAAGATTCAACTCTTTCAATCACAGACAAGCAATTTTCTGATTGATCATGCCCAAGGATTATCCAACCTTTTATACATTACGACTTTAACTTGTTAACTGTTATCACTATGAACATGACGGACAAAGAAAGAGGACAAAATATACAGTTCCTCATTGTACCATCAACAAATGCTGTGGTAGACAAAGGAAAATACCTTCAGTGCTATTATGCAAAAATGTGTAGAACATGTGTCACATGCATATTCACCTGTTCTACAAATTTTTACATAATAGCAGTGAAGGGATGTTCCTTTGTCTACCACAGCAATTGTTGAGGGTAGAAAGAGGAACTGTTTATTTTGTCCTCTTTATTTGTCCGTCAAGTTCATAGTGTATATCCAAATAGATAAATATAAGTCAAGGATGTGTTTAGATTGTTCAATTGTATTTTCATCCAAAATACATGGTCAAGGAGGAATCGACACTTTCCTGGGCCCAGTGACCATGGGCCCCTAGATTTGTTTAAATGAAAAAAGGGCCTAAAACACAACCTCTACAAACTAAAACCGACACACCCTGTAGACAAAGTTAGTATGGGTTACGAGCTGAGAGCCTGGGTTGTGATTGGGTTGCAGAATTCTACACACATAAACCACATGGCAATTTGATTCTGGGGCCAGTTTCATAAAACTTGTTATCCATAACAAATGCTTAATTTTTATGATAATTTTGCTCTCAGCCAATCAGATGCCTTGATTTCAGTAGCTTATAACAGTAGCTTGTAACTTGTTATTGATAAACTTTCATGAAACAGGGCCCAGTGAAGTATGATTATCTTGACTAAGGCTCTGTCTTGTAGCACTTTCGTCGTTGAGGAAGGTGTTTCACAAAGCCTTTTTTCAATGACAAATGACATAAATCAGTGATAAATCTGCTGTTAACCAATCAGAAGCAAGAATTTCAGTAGCTTATAACAAAAACCTGTCATTTGTCACTGATGACAAGTTTTGTAAAATGCCCCCCTGGGACCCGTTTCACAAGGCCTTTTTTCAATGACAAATGACAAAAATCAATGACAAATCTTCTGATAACCAATCAGAAGCAAGGATTTCAGTAGCTTATAACAAAAACTGTCATTTGTCACTGATGACAAGTTTTGTGAAACACCCCCCTGGGACCCGTTTCACAAGGCCTTTTTTCAATGACAAATGACAAAAATCAGTGACAAATCTGCTGTTAACCAATCTGAAGCAAGGATGTCAGTAGCTTATAACAAAAACCTGTCATTTGTCACTGATGACAAGTTTTGTAAAACACCCCCCTGGGACCCGTTTCAAAAGGCCTTTTTTCAATGACAAATGACAAAAATCGATGACAAATCTGCTGTTAACCAATCAGAAGCAAGGATGTCAGTAGCTTATAACAAAACCTGTCATTTGTCACTGATGACAAGTTTTGTGAAATGCCCCCCTGGACTCACGCTTTGTCTTGTAGCACTGTCAACGTTAAGGAAGGCGTACCAGATGTCTAGCTTCTTCCTCAGCTTGTCCTGCCAGAACTCGTAAGGCATGGCAGGCTTTTTAGATACCCTGTAGAAAATAGGAACAAAATGTCCTTATACAGTCAAACCTGTCTATAAAGACCACTCAAGGGAGACTAGAAAAGTGGTCTTTGTAGACAGGTTCGTTTAGTACATGATTCAATGAGAAACTATTTTCAAGGGAAACAACAAATGTGGTCACTAAAGCAGGTTTGACCGTGAAGTGAAACATGTCTATAAAGACCACCCAAGGGAGACAAGAAAAGTGGTCTTTACAGGCAGGTGGTCTTTGTAGACAGGTGCCTATAGTTCATGTTTCTTGTCTTGCCAGAACTCGTAAGGCATCGGAGGCTTAATAGAAACCCTGTAGAAAATATGAACAAAATAATACAGTGAAACCTGTCTATAAAGACCACTCAAGGGAGACAAGAAAAGTGGTCTTTATAGGCAGGTGGTCTTTATGTACAGGTGGTCTTTATGTACAGGTTTAAAAGAGAAACCGTTTATTCAAGTGAAACTAAAAGTGTGGTCTTTGTAGACAGGTGTCTATAGTACAGTGTACATGTTCCAATGAGAAACCATTTTCAAGGGTAGCAAATAATGTGGTATTTATAGACAGGAGGTCTTATGTACAGGTTCCTTCAGAACATGTTTCAATGAGAAACAATTTTCAAGGAAACCAAAAATGTGATCTTTGTAGACAGGTGCCTGTAGTACATGTGTCAATGAGAAACCATTTTCAAGGGTAGCAAATAATGTGGTCTTTATAGACAGGTGGTCTTTATGTATTGTGAAAGAAATGGTGTGGAATCGATCAGAATGGTTGATCGTTTAGCATATAAGTATTGGTGTGTACTGCAAGGTTCAGGAATCAGCAAAATGATAAGTAACTTTGCCCAGTCTTGGTAAAGTTACAAGCACTGTACACAGAAATATGTATATGGGGCTACACGAACATGTGGCATGAAAATCTGTCCTGATTTTTATGTTGTTACATGCCATATTAAGAATATGAAGGCATTTGAAGAGCCATGCTTTTCAGGGAACATGTTTTATCTGATGTTCTTCCACACTTGCATAATAACAAAGATAACGCTCACAAATCATTTGTCACCTCTTCCCAGCACTCAACCTTCTCTTTAATCTTTAGTACACACTTACCTTTTGCGGTTGTATCGCGTTGTGAGAACATTGGTGAAGATACGCGCTACAAGTTGGCTGGACTGTGGGAGGACAAGAGCCCTCTCTAGTTCAAAGAGAGAGAACTCTGGCAGGTACATATTCTCACGGCAAAGCTTGAAGAACTGTCCAATAGCTGGAATCTACAAAGATAGTAGGAGTTAGGATAGCATTTGCAATCATGTTTAAAGATAAAGATCATTTCTGGTCTTGCGATTGCATTGTGAAAGAAACGTTGTGGAATCGATCAGAAAAGGTTGATCATCTAGCATATAAGTATTGGTGTGTACTGCAAGGTTCTGGAATCATTGAAATGATAAGAAATTTGGCCAAGTCTTGGTAAAGTTACAAGCAGTGTACACAGAAAGACGTCTATGGGACTAACCCTGCACGTGTGCGACACATGCGTTATATCTATCAGGTCCACATAGATATAATAATTTACCAAATAGATCAATTAGTAGGCGGTTTCTCGGCAAAATTTGTATGATCACGTATTAGTCAAAACATATTTTTTCACATAATTGGTAATAAGAGCTTCCATTTCATTTTTTGAGAGGGGGGCGTTTCCAAAACTGGTCTTTACCTTTAAGATTGCGGCCTCCTGAATTTTTCAATTTCGAAATGAATTGTGACATTTGGTGTTTTGAAAATTATTTAATTATTTAATTGATTTATATCATGATATGATTATATGTGTATTTTAAACTATTGTAATAATAATATATATATATATATATATATATATATATGTGTGTGTACCTAGTATTAGTAATAGTACCTGGTTTGTATATTTCTTTCTGATATGTTGAAAAATGCAGAAATCAAATAAAATCAAACAGACAGATTGTACATATTCTTTTCAGATCATATCAAACACAGACTGGTACAATCTTCAATGGTAATACAAAAGGAAGGTGAAATTGGAGGGAAATAGTGCTAATACAGGCTATTGGAGAATTTCCATCATCATCAATGGTCTCAAAAGAGGGAAAGAAGGTGTAAAAACAAGGGAAACACTCTCGGCGGTCTCGTCTGCATTACGCAATTCGTTATGATGAACAATTGAGGTTGGAACATTATTTATATGCAGGGTGGTCCATTAGCAGGACCCCCAAAATGAGATCCTCTGAATATAATCAGCATTTTCATGTGAATATTGACTAAGAATCATCAGAAGAATTATTTACTATTAATTGTACCACGATTGATAACTTGAATGAAATATGAACAAATTAATAAAAAAAATTGATTTATTAATTCTCATAGTAAGTTGTGAAAACATAATCCAAGTCTACTGACCTAAAATGACCTTTGACCTTGTGACCCGGAATTTGTGTCATATGAGTTGTGATACTTGATAACCCTTGGGTACAAGTAACATGGAATTTGAACAAATAATTTTGAAAATATGCTAAAAATTCAAAATCTTGATGTTAATGCCACAACAAAGTCTAAGTTTGTTGACCTAAAATGACCTTTGACCTTAACTTAGTGACCTGAAATTCTCCTCACATGATTGATGATACTTGATAACCCTATAGTCCCAAGTTTCATTGACTAAGAACTTATACTTTCAAAATAATATCAAAAATCCAAAAACTTAACCTTAGGTTAAGTTTTTGATGTTGACGCCGTCGCCGCCGTCTCCGGAAAAGCGGCGCCTATGTCTCGCTTTTTGCTACACAGGCGAGACAAAAACGCTACCAGTGCAGCTCTCTTCCTTACTTTATAAATCTTTTCAATAGAATGTAGTACCAATATAAATTGTTTTTTTAGAACTTCACAGTCCATGATTGAACTATGTGAATGACTTTTGATAGTTTTTATCTCGATTTAATGCATTGCTAAATATTTCTTGCCATCTCCCCTCATCTGTAATGATAAGGTACCCTTTGTCTGTCTCTTCCCCTCTACATCGCTCTGCCTCTCTCTCTCTCTATCTTTCCGTCTCTCTCTTTCGTCCCCCTTCTCTCTCTCTGTCTCTCTCGCTCTTTCTTTCTCTCTTCCTCTCTCTTTGTCATCACTCCAACTCTCCCTCTCCTATACCTCTCCCTTTCTCTAATTTGAATTTTGATCAATGGATTTTTATGTATGTCTATATGTTTGATGTTATATTTATGTCATATTTTGTGTTATTTCAACTTTGAATTGCAATTGTATTGTATCTTTGTGAAATGGTTCGTAATTCAGCCATTGGCTGCGATGATCTTTTTAATAAAAACCATTTCTATCTATCTATCTTCAATAAAAAAAAACTTTGCAAGCAGGTCAAAAATGCTGTGAAGAGTATTCTGAGAAGAAACCATGACCTAGCATCATTTATCCATCCATGAATGAACCTGCATTCAATCAGCAGATGTATGAGATTTATTGTATCATTACCAACGCTCCTTCTCTCCCCTTTCCTTTTCTTCTCTGCAAGTCACTATTTTTATTCTTATGTTTATTGTTGTATGTAAGTTGAGGAGCTGCGGGCACGTCAAGCTACTTTGCTTATTTCTGTAGCCCTGCTGCATCTAATGTATGTTAATTATACATTCAATATATTTGTTTAATTTTGTTTATAATCTGTATAAAATTATAAACAGTTAAAATATTTGATATATATATCAAACCATATTATGTTCATGAAAATGTATGATGAAAAAAAGAAAAAAGATGCAGAAACCAATAAATCAAATCAAATCAAGAAAGTGTCGCACCTCCCACATGGACTTCAGCTGGGTCCCGAGCGGCTCCTTCAAGAGTTCATCCTTCTCCCATTCTACCAGTCGCCTGTTCAGTCTCTCCAGCTCAGCTTTCCTTTCTATTATCCTCTGCTTTCTCCTCTCTTCTTCTTCCTTCTCTAGCTGTTTCTCCATGAAGTTTGCAACGGGTGACATGGTGTTCCTGTTTTCAAGGATTCTCTGACTGACCCTCCTCCCTGTTAACAGACAATTGTGAGTATTAGAAATGCAAGAAATATGATCCAACATTTACAATGTTAAATTTGAGATGCACGTCTCTACATGTTATCAGTGTCTGTGATATGGTGTAATATTGAAGCCCTAAAAAAAAATTGCTCTTAAAAATGATCAAGAAGTGCCTCAACAAAGTAAAAATCTTTGAGTGACCGGTTTTACCATACCGGTACTCGTTTTCCCCAATAGACTGTGGTATTATGAAATTTCGATTTCCTATCATAAATATCTTGATAATCAGACAGGCGATCGGCTTGTAAAAGTCATGGGGTTCCTGACTGACATAAAGGTTTATAATTATCATTGCAGCATGAGCTAAGTCCAGGATTTTGTTTCAGAATCTGAGACAAAGTTACCGGATCCCTGTAAGTCAAAGATATAAAGTTGAGGATCGGAAGTGATTCAGGTTCTGGGGTGTGTCATAAAAAGTGTGCGTAAAGTTACAAACTACTTTACAAATGATTTGAATATGAAGAGCCAAATCAGATGAAAGTTAGTGTAGGAAAAAATGACTGCAGAACACTCGGTGCCATAGCATAAACCTGTGAAATATGGTGACAAACTGTCTTTTCATTTTATTACTAGAAAACTGTCCATTTTCACATGATAGTCATTTGGTTCACCTACAGACAGTTGGTATTTTTGCATTCATGAAATCTATATCAGAGAAAATTATCCCTACCCTAACAATTTGCTTCACCCATAAGAACTTGTGTGTGCACTGTGAAGTGAATAGTATACAATGGTGAATAGTATAGTAATAATATTGGGTTCTTGTATAGCGCTCATTTCTGTTAGACTCGACACTCCAGGCACTCCCGATTATCACCTGGCTTTAGCATGGCTGCCATTAGGGCGCTCTGGCATTTAAAGAATTAATTCCTGCTAGGTACCCATTTACAGAACCTGGGTTGGCTGTGGCAAATGTAGACTGTTGTGTCTTGCCAAAGGACATTAGTGCCGTGGACCTTGGGATCGACAGTCCGGAGACACATCAACTTGAACACGACACCTCTTTTGCATAACACAATGGTAAAGTGAATACTACAATGATTGGGAGGGTCACGGCTTAGAACACATTATAAGATGATGACATGGATCCTAATCAAATGATTGGTTAAAAGCATACACGTGACCAGGCATTTATTTTGCCTAACACGTAATTTGGATAATGACCGGTCATTATCCAATTCTAATGACCGGTCATTATCCAAATCATGTAATAAAACATCATTTTACAACAAAAAAAATTAAAAATCTTATAAAACAAATTTAAAAAAAAAAATTCTGTTCGGGCATTAGTAAAATTACCCATACTCGATACCTTCAAAACAGTCCAAACACCTTCGGCTACTGCCTTGGGCGTGTTAGACTGTTCCAAATGTACCTTGTGTGGGTAATTTTTTACTAATGCCCTCACTGCTGTGTATTATTTGTATACTAATACTGTGTTCAGACTAGCCTAGTTCACACTTACCAAATGTTGAGCTCATGGCGGTATCTTGCTCTGCAGTTTGCGGGTCATTGTTTCCATGGAAATGAGTCTTGTCTCGTATATGCCTGGAAGAATAGCGGTAAGAGGTTAAAACATTACTTATCACCGTATAAACATACCATAAACATAAATGAAAGTATTATAATCTTAGCGAGTTTTCATTACAGGATTACAAGTACTGGGTATTTATAACAAAGAGCGAGAGAGTGCTCAAAGTCACAGGCTCCCTGCAGCATTATGACCATCACAAACCAATGGGTTTGAGTTGAGTGTAGCATTCAAAAGTGATCTGCAGCCAGCCGTATGTTAACATTCAACAGAAGGTTCCAACGTATACTGCCAACATAAATATCATGCAGTGATATCAAATGTCATATTCAAAAGGTAGGCCATTTGTAAGGTCTAAAAGACAAAGATGTTGTATTGCCCTTTGCGACCGACCCAACATTTTTTAAATCTACGGTCGGCTCTTTTGTTTTTACCGTTTTAGAGAAAACAAGAAGGAAAAAAAAGTTTTGAAAAAGAGAAGATTTCTGACCCATGTTTTGGCATGTAACGGGCATTACAACATCTTTTTTGTTTAGGCATAATTATAACAAACCATTTATTGTTTCTTGAAAGCCAACTCAAACTTTTTATTTACCTTGAGAGTTGAGTGAGCTTCTGCTCAAAATGGCACTCCATCATCTGTGCCTGACGAGAGACGATCTGCTTGAGTTCATTGCAATTCGACTATCCTTGTATGGAAACTCAAACTCTATTCTAACACCAAGTGAGCTACTCAAAAAGGCCCTGTACATGCCACAACATATTCACTTAAAGACCATCAATACTACTGGGTCAGAAGGGATAAGACCACACAGCGAGGTCACTAACAGGTGGCTATCTCATTAACTCAGCTCTCAACTAACATTCTTTCTCACCTTGAGAGTTGAGTGAGCTTCTGCTCAAAATGGCACTCCATCATCTGTGCTTGACGAGAGACCATGTGCTTGAGTCCGTTGTAGCGGTAGCAGTTCTCAAAGATCTGCCTGACATCAGCTACGAACTCGGTGATGGAGGTGTACTCCACATCCTCAAACTTCTCTTCAACTAAAGGAAGAAAAAAACAATTGGGAGCAAAGTCGCATTAATATTGTACATGTGAGAAGCTGGTAGTAGTTCGCAAAGATCTGCCTGAAATCAGCGATGAACTCAGTGAGGGAGGTGTACTCCACATCCTCAAACTTCTCTTCAACTGGAGGAAAAAACAAAACAAGTGGGAGCAAAGTCAGCATTAAAGAGATTGGGTATCTCTGCCTCAGATTCTAAACAAAATCCTGGATTTAGCTTTTGCTGCAATCATAATGAAAAACCTTTAGGTCAGTCAGGAATCCTATGAATTTTACAAGATGATTACCTGTCTGATTATCAAGATATTTATGATTGGAAATCAAAATTTCAAAAACCTTTTTTCCAAGGGTTTTTATAACACTACAGTCCACTGGGGAAAATGAGTACCCGGGATGGTGAAACCGGTCGCTCAAAGATATCATTTTGAATTTTTCATATTACACTGATAACACATAGGGCCATGCATCTCAGATTTGTTAAAACTGAAAACATTGTTAAACGATACCTTTAATATTGAACATGTGAGGAGCCGACACCATGCATTTCAGTTGGTACACACACAACTGGTGGCATGTCATTGTCAACAAATACTGCACTGTGTTTTAAAGCAGAGTATGATGCCTTTTAACCCGTTCAGCTCGGCATTATTCAGCCTGATAGCCACCTCACAAACGAGATTAAAAATCGAACACGCCGTACCGTGAGACCGCTCAGCGCGCGCCACAATGCGTGTGCGTTCAAGCGGCCAGAGGCTTCGACTAACGGGAACCTAGCGCATGCGCAGATCATTTGCCAATCTGGTCTTGTCATGTCGAGAACACGTTGCACGGTCGTTCTCTGCTGTGCTCCAAGCCTCTCAGTTCTTTCAGCTCTTTCGTAGGGTTTTCTTCTTCGTTATCTTTTCTTCTTCTTCTTCGCCTCATTCTTATTTTGTTCTTCTTCTTTCTCTTTTTATTTAGATACTCAATTTTATGAGAAAAATACACAATTTATAAGAAATTAAGGATTTGAATGTAAATCTCTGTTGCATCATATTCATATGAAATAATTTACCAGCCTAAATTGACGGTTATAATATTATTTTGTCGGACATTGTATTACTATAGCGAAAAGATATAGACATGATAAAATGAAACTAAAGAAGAATCCAGAATGGGGGAGGGTTGGGGTGAAAGGAGAGACAAAATAGAATAATAATAAATAAATACAGTACAGACTATACCGATGTGCCATTTGGAGAGCAAAATAATTAGTTTGTTTTATTTACTAATGTAAAGCGCTTTGAGCATGTTTATGCCATATAAATATCAATATGTATGAATATATTGCCAAATTTTGACAATTGTAGTTTGTAAGTATATGTATTGACAAAGTATAAATACAAAAAAAACCGACACAGAAATGTCTGCAAGTATTTGGGACCTATATAGAATGTGCGAAAAGAGCTTTGTCTTTGTCTTTGGCCCATGCATGTTCCCACAGCTGAGTTACGTAAGAGGAACAATGAACGTTGCTGAGGGTACGGGTCGTTGTCATGGCTATAAACTCTAAAGAGCGGAAGTAAGGTAAGGGTATAATTGAATAATTGGATGACAGATCTGAGATTATATTATCAACAAAAAAAAGAGAAGAGTATGAATTTACAAATAGTACCAAAAAATAGAAGAAAAAAATAAATAAAGTGAAAGGCGTAAATATTCTAAAAAAAGAATGAAACGCCGATAATACCAAACAACAACAACAACAACAATGAACTGACTTTGTATTCATGTATAACCCTGCTTTATGTTGTTTTTGGGGAGGGAAGGGTCTTGTTGTTATTGCAGTTGTCGTTGCTGTTTTTTAAATTTTTAAATGGGATCACGTTCCGACATTCTCATAAATAAAAATCATATAACGTAAAGCCAGACTTTACCCTATCTGAAACACTCATTCAAAGACAACAATCATGCACGATAAAGGAAGGAATGGACAAGAATATGTGATAAAGATAAAATGTCACAGACAAAATAGATAATTATAAGAAATGATTGTTTCTCTCTCTCTTTTTCTCTGCTTATGTGTCTCTCTCTCTCCCTCTATCTCTCACTCGGTCGCTTTCTCTGTCTATCTGCCAATTTTGTTCCGCCGTTTGCTTGTATGCCGGCAACATTCCTTTTTTGAGATAGATTATTATAATGATGATGTACACACTTTATTATACCTTATATTTATTATAGCGAGCGAAGTGAAAAACGAGCGGCTGATAATGTCTAAATGCGAATAATTATATTTCCAAAGTAAAACTTTTGAATGAAAATCTCTGTTGCAACAAATTGATATAAACACTGTTTATTATGCTATATTGACTATACTATTATACGTCGGACATTATACTTCAGCGAAAAGATATCTATATGATAACAAAAAGGACAGACTAAAGGCGACAAAAATCGGAGCTGGGGTGGGGGGGGGGGATGATCGGAGAGACAAATATCATATAAATAAATACAGTACGGACTACGTCCAACTTTCTATCTCTTTCGCCCCCTTCCCCCTCCCCTTTCTCTCTCTCTCTCTCTCTCTCTCTCTCTCTCGCTCGTTCTCTCTTTCTCTTTCTATTCCCCCCTCTCTCTCTCTCCCTCTATATGTCTCTCTGTTTATCTGGCAATGTCGTTTTCCATCTTCATCTTTTTTTATTAAATGTTTTCTATTCCTCCGTTTGCTTGTATGCCGACATCATCTCTTCCTTGAGATTAATTATTATAACGTAATTATCCCTGATGATGTACACATTATACCTTATATTTATTATAGGAAACGAAATAGAGAACGAGCGGCTGATAATGTCGAGATGCGAAGAATATTACTGAACAATAATTATATTTCCAAAGTAAAACTTTTGAATGAAAATTTCTGTTGCATCAAATTTATTGATATAAAAAAAATGTTTAAAATGCTATATTTACAATACTATTATATGTCGGACATTATACTTCAGTGAAAAGATATCTATATGATGAAGAAAAAAAGGGCAAACTAAAGGGTAAAAACAAAATCGGAGCTGGGGGGGGGGGGGGTGATCAGAGAGACAAATATTATATAAATAAATACAGTACGGACTACGTCCAACTTTCTATCTCTCCCGCCCCCTAGCTTTCCCCTCCCCTTTCTCTCTCTCTCTCTCCCTCGTTCTCTCTCTCTCTCTCTTTCCCCCTCTCTCTCTCTCTCTCTCTCTGTCTTTCTGTCTATCTGGCAATGTCGTTTTTCATCTTCATCTTTTTTATAATGTTTTCTATTCCTCCATTTGCCTGTACGCCGGCAGGATCTCTTCCTTGAGATTAATTATTATAACGTAATTATCCCTGATGATGTACACATTATATCTTATATTTATTATAGGAAACGAAATAGAGAACGAGCGGCTGATAATGTCGAAATGAGAAGAACATTACCGAACAACAATTATACCAAGTAAAACTTTTGATTGTAAATCCCTGTTGCATCAAACTGATTGATACAAAAATTGTTTATTATGCTATATTGACGGTACTATTATACGTCGGATATTATACTTTAGCCCAAAGATATAAACAAAACAAAACAAAAAAATGGAAAGAAAAAATGTGAGCTTGAGGGGGGGGGGGGGGGGGGGTCGGTGAGAAAAATATCATAGTAATAAATACAGTACAGACTACGTCCAACTTTCTATCTCCCCCCCCCCCCCCCCCCCCCCCCCTCTCTCTCTCTCCCTGTCCGTCTTTCTCTCTGTCTATGTCGTTTTCCATCTTCATCTTCATAATGTTGTCTATTCCGCCATTTGCATGTATGCCGACATCATCCCTTCCTTGAGATTAATTATTATAACATATCCTTGATGTTATACGTCGGACATTATACTTTAGCAAAAAGATATAATCAAACAAAAAGGAGACAAAATAAAGAAGAAACAAAAATCAGAGTTGGGGGGGGGGGGGGGGTGACCGGAGAGACAAATATCATTAAATATCATTGTACGCATATTTTATTTGTTTTGTATGTAATGGAAAGAGATAAATAAATGACAGAGATTAGAACACAATCATAATTCATCACAATCATCTCTCTCTCTCTCTCTCTCTTTCTATCTATTTATCTATCTTTCTCTGTCTGTCTCTGTCTGTCTGTCTCTATTCTCCCCCTTCCCTCTCTGAATACGTCAGGAATTTCGTGAAATTGGAATTGTGCTTCAGTGTATTTTATTTCCGTATCGCGTTGTTGTGTTTTTTTTTTTTTTTGAAAGGGTGCGGCTAATAAGGAGTTAATCGCAGTAGTATTGGTAGTCTTTTATTTATTCGAAAATAAATGATATTGAAAATATAGTAATTCATTATATTACGGAACAATAAAGAAAGAAGTGCAAACAACGTGATAATTCACTTTATTTGTCTTCGTCTCCATCTGTGTCCTTGTTCAACCTATCGTGTCAATAAAACTTAGATAATCCTCGTTTCATGATCAGTTCTGTAGATGGCATGTACATGCATACATGATAATGATAATGGTGATGATGATGATGATGAAGATGATGCTTAAAATATTGTAATAAAATAGTAATAATAATAATAACAATTATTTTCTTCATCTTGCACTCGCTTTTCTTCATTGCCAGAAAACTTGTTTTATGTTGCCTTGCATTTTTTTCAACAATGGTAGCATCTTTGCCCGGGAAAAGTCTCATATTCGTGGCTTTACCGCCGGAGTTGCTCAAGACAAGAGTAATATTCCGTAGGGAGAGAGAGGAAGAGTAAGGGGTCGTTTTTCAGAACATAACATTTGAACATTTCATATGCCCGCTCAAGCCAAGACCGGCTTTAGGTTGATCAAGATATTTTACTTCAACCTGCTCTAAAACTGTTACATGCCCTCGTAAAGGTGTATAAGTTAGAGTGGTTGTTTGTATTGTAATGTAAATTGACCTATTTACGCCTACATCCTCTTCTTTCAAAACGGCAATCTTCCAGAGTAGTTACTTCTTTACATTCTTTTGTTCCCCCTTAGCGTGGGGTAGCTGAGGGAGCCTGGATAAGCCTTTCATAAAAGAGGAGGTCCATACATGAATGATTCGCTAAATTGGTCAAGTTGATAACATGAAAAGCGTATTGTCATGTAAATACAATGACGTAAAAGATAGCTGTGGAGTCAAAAAATTTGAGACGACAGGCTTTATAGATAACTTATGGAAATATCATCGAATGTCGTTGTTTCATATTCTTCATTTTCTACGTCCGATGAATACTCTTCTTCGCTTGATAAGTCCATTTGTATATTCATTTTCTGAGTCCGAGTCAAGGATCGCTTCTCGAGCATCTTCAACGCTAAAAATAGGCTTTCTCCGATGACGAGACATTTTGAGAAACTATCTTACATAGATAAAGAGCAGTTATAAGCAAATAATTGAGAACTAATTTGTGCAACCAACTATCATGAAAATCAAAAAGCTGAACTAAATAGTAAAACTCCGACACTTTATAGCACGATAAGTAAATAATAGCCGACAACCTTGAAACGAAACAATGGGATGGACTATATCGAGACTAGCTAATCTCCCCAATAATAGGTCGGCCCGGTACCCTGTATACGTACGCATGAGTAAACTGAACTGAGAGCGCTAGGTCGAACGAGACTGTAATATACTATAAGCTTTTCAATAATCGGCCCGTTACCATGAATAGGCGTCAATGACCATATAAGGCGAAGGCTCATGCATTGAACGGTGTATCCGCGCGTGCCGAGTACAAAGGTATCCAGAGCGAGTGTGGAATTCGCTGCTTGCAAAATCATTATGTCCGGCTTACACAGTCCTAGGCATAGTAGACCCAGCTAGCTAGCAGCAGCGAATCCGAAAATCTATGAAAATAACGTAAACTGACTTGCATGTGTTCTACACGAATATCCTGAAAAAGGACTCGTGCATTCTCATGCTAAACTTGTAATAAAATAAAAAATTACGCATCTACAGTCGGTAAAAAATGAGATGCATGTAGCCAAAGGTTCAAGGTTTGTATACAGGTAGTTTATATTGTATTTAGAAGGTGAATAGATGTATTTTTCTGCAATAAAAGAAGCCCTTGCTCGGACCCGAGAAATCTCGGTTCCCGTTTGTGAGTACGTACCTCGGGACCCGAGAAATCTCGGTTCCCGAGTTGAACGGGTTAAGAGAAGTTTGAGACTATGATTTATGTAGACGGTAGTGGTGCATCATCAATCCATTCACAACGATAAGAACAGAAGCAGCTTTTGCATAATACTCGCTGATGGCAAATAGTCTGGCAGACTAGAGTTTAAAGCGCGTCTGCACTAGTTTGGCCAGGGGATTAGACCTCCCTGCATGGTCACTGACAAGTGTTATCTCACCAAATCAGCTTTCAATTAACCTAAGAAAAAGGGGATCATGGGGGACCAACAGGCACTGATTAGGCATTGTTGGCTATATAGAGGGCGCAAGTAGCTGTAAGTAGTACAGTGGGGCCCATGCCTCGCCATTTTGTGGAACCATTTGTGACTATACTACTACTAATAATAATAAGTCTTTTTTAACCCAGGGTAACGTCATCAGTATCAAAACTGTTCTCCCTGAGGAGCCTGCAATCATATCACTACTCCGGCTTTAGCCCAACCCTCAAAGACACTTACTTCTGGTTAGCCACATAGAGACACTTACTTCTTGTTAGCCACATGGGTGTCTTGATCCTGTCATAGTAGTCCGGCAGCTTGAGAGCCACAGGGTCTACTCGGTCCATGAAGGGCCAAGCAAAGCTCTTAGACCGCTCTCCCATCAAATCTACCAGGATTCTATACCCCTGCTGGAGCTCTGGGGTCAGTCTCCGCAGGACGGCCAACGCTGTGGGGTCGTTGCCCTTATTCTGTAAAGGGCGAGACAAAATAGACGAAATCCATCATTATCATCATCAAAAGTAGAGACATTATCATTCATCAAATTCAAAGGATCATGCAGCCACAGGGTCTACCCGATGTATGTAGGGCCAAGCAAAGCTCTTGGAGCACTCCCCCGTCAAATCAACCAGAGGGACGTTTCACTAAACTTGTCATCAGTGACAAATGACAGTTTTTGTTATAAGCTACTGAATCCTTGCTTCTGATTGGTCATCAGCAGATTTGTCACTGACTTTTGTCATTTGACATTGAAAAAAGGCCTTGTGAAACGGGTCCCAGATTTCTATACCCCTGCTGGAGCTCTGGGGTCAGCCTCTGCAGGACAGCCAACCGTGTGAGGTCATTACCCTTATTCTGGAAACAAAAAAGTGAGATAAACTAGATGAAATTTATCATTAGGGCGCTTTCCCAAACACGTCGGCAAAGACGACGGTAACGCGAGCGGAAAAAACAATCTGCGCTTGTTACGATCGTACGCGGCCAAGAGCTGTGTCGCCGTGATTCTCCTGTCATCTTTGCTTCCGTTTTCTTTGCGAAAGCGCTCTATTATCAACGTAAAGAAATTATCATTTATCAAATTCAAAGGATCATGCAGATTTTGATAAATTTTGAGGACTGCCATTTACATTACTGGTAAAACCCATCATTAAACTTCCAAGTTTGCTCATTACGATTTTCTGGTGAGTAGTGCGCATGAGAGACTTCTCCCTGCTTTGCATGCGATCACATGGAAACGAGGAGAGTGATGTTTACAAAAATCTGAACCTTTCACTGATTTTTCGAAACCGTTCAATGAAATTTCTGCCGGCGTTTCAAGAAACGACACTCCAAAGTTGGATGTTTTGAGTGGCTTATCAACAACCGACGAAACACTGAAATGTGCTTGCAGCGTAAGTGCAGTTCATAATAAACAATACATTAAAACCTGTTTATAAAGACCACCTAAGAGAGATAAGAAAAGTGATCTTTAAGTACAGGTTCCTTTAGTACATCTTTCAATGAGAAACCATTTTCAAGGGAAGCAAACAATGTGGTCTTTGTAGACAGGTGGTCTTTCTATACAGGAAGTCACTAAAGCGGGTTTGACTGCACATGTTTCAATGAGAACCATTTTCAAGGAAACAAACAATGTGGTCTTTGTAGACAGGTGGTCTTTCTATACAGGTAGTCACTAAAGGAGGTTTGACTGTTCTTACCTTCTTAGATTGACTGGATGCGTCCTCAGAGCCCACCTGGTAGGAGATGTTCAAATGCACTGGCTTGTAACTTTTAGAATCTGTGACCAAGATAAGAATAACAACAACAAAAACTTCATTAATTAGCATTCCATTAACATGTTTATCCGATATTATCACAATCATGTTTCATACATGTATATATCAATTTATATTAATTGTGTTTAAAATCTAAATGTTACGAGATAGGGAAATTAAATGCTTTGCCCATTCTCTCTTTTTTATCTTCTTTTTTTCCCTACTCATCCATGTATGTACTGTAAATTCAATTTATTTTATGTATGATGTGCAATATAGTGAAGTTTCCATTATTATTATTGTTAATTTATTCCTTGAACTAATTTGTGATCATTTCCACTTTCCATATTGATGTATTTGTAATTTCTTTTTATGGAATTTTGACTCAATAAACCGAAATGAATGAATGAATGAATGAATTACGGTTAGCATAACAGGTGCATGTCTGGAATGTAAAGATGCGTGTGCGGTGTTGCTTTAGCGCATTAAAAAAAAAAAAAAAAAAAAGTTTGCAACTTCAAGAATCAGGAAATTCTAAATTTCTGACATTTCTGATAAGACTGCAAGAATTCTAGAGCGAGTATCTTAGTGGTTGTGTGCCATCCGACCATCCCATCTACATAGGTGTACCTGAGAATCTACATGTAGTTATGTTCAACCCTTGGACTTTAAAGATAAAGTTGAGTTATGGTCATGCGATTGCATTGTGAAAGAAACGTTGTGGAATCGATCAGAAAAGGTTGATCATCTAGCATATAAGTATTGGTGTGTGTACTGCAAATCAAAATGATAAGAAATTTGGCCAAGTCTTGGTAAAGTTAAGAGCACTGTACACAGAAAGATGTATATGGTACTACACGAACACGTGGCGTAAAAATCTGTCCCGATTTTTACGATGTTACATACCTTATTTAGAATATGAAGGCATTTGAAGAGCCATGCTTTTCAGGGAACATGTTTTAGCTGATGTTCTTCCACACTCGCATGATAACAATGATAACACTCACAAATTATCTTTCACCTCTTCCCAGAACTCAACCTTCTCTTTAACACCTTGGGCCAGTTTCTCAAAGTCGTCATAAGTCTAAGTTTGTGGACAACCCATAGAAACGTGTGTTAATTCTATAAAAACACGTTTCAATGGGATGTCTAAGAAGTTACATGTAGACTTATGACGATTTTGAGAAACGTCCACCTGGGAGGCGTTTCACAAAACTTGTCATCAGTTACAAATGACAGTTTTTGTTATAAGCTACTGAAATCCTTGCTTCTGATTGGTTATCAGCAGATTTGTCACTGATTTTTGTCATTTGTCATTGAAAAAAGGTTTTGTGAAACAGGCCCCTGGTTCCAGTAAGCCAAGGCATATAATTTGTTTTTACCTGATCCACTTTGAACCCATACTTCCTGTTTAGGTTCTAACCCCTCCTCTTCTTCCTCCTCCTCCTCCTCAAGCGATGAGTCTTCATCGTCTGTTTCCATAGTAACAGAGTCAGAATCCATCTTTTCAGAGTCCTTCTGCTGCTCTTTAGACACCTAACTCTGTATCTGCCTGAAGAAAAGAATGAATGAATTACAAGGTTGCCTTCTCTCTTTCTTTTTTTTTTAACCCATTGCCAATGGGAACGAGGTGAGTCCTGTATTAAGTATATGGGAATGAGATAATTTAGGAGTCAACGTGTTAATGGAGGGGGGGGGGGGGGGGGAGGGGAGGAGCTAGGAGCTAGAAACAGTAGAAGACAGGTTCACCCAAGCAAGTAGCAAGTTGCACAATAGAAAAGGAGTCTTGAATAAAGATGTCTGTCTGTTATGATGTTAAATTGATAATTATGATTTTAAAATCCTCTTCAAAAAGTTAAGATTTTCTCCCTCACATTTCAACTTGAACATTGCTAATTGCTGATGCTATAAAATTCTTGTTCAAGCAGCAGGAATAACGTTACACATGATTTGTCATCAATCGTCTAAATTTGTCTTGCAAGCACATCTTCTGGCGCTTTTGTAGTTCCGTATCCATTTTGTTTGCAGTTTAAAAATCCATTCTTAGCAAAGGAATTTTAGCCCAATTTTTAACTAATTTTAATCATAATTATATATATGCATTTTCCACCTGAATTTGGATTACATTAGACATCGGGAAGCCTTCGTTTAGGGCTTCGATGTCGACGGCGTCGCTCAGTACCGTCTCTACACTGTATAGTCCTGTACCTCAAACTGAAGCTATGCGTACAAAATTATGCAGACTTCTCGTATGGTTTATGGTATCGCGCATACGAGAAGTCTGCATAATTTTGGACTGATAGCTTCAGTTTGAGGTGCAGGACTACAGTGTAGAGACTGTACTGAGCGACGACGTCGACATAGAAGGCCTAAACGAAGGTTTCCTGATGTCAGATATGATCCAAATTCAGGTGGAAAATGCAATATATGATTATGATTAAAATTAGTTAAAAATTGGGCCAAAATTCATTTGCTAAGAATGGATATTAAACTGCTAAAAAAATGGATACGGAACTCCACTAGCACCCATCTTCTTAGTCTTGCCCCTCTCTCCATTGAATGTCAACAGCACATTTGTAGCTGCCTATTCTTTTGCTCTCATTTTGGTAGCTTTAAATTCTATTCTAGATGCAGCACCGACTTGAAATTTTGAAATTGACTTGCCTTAGACTCTAGATCTAGAGATTTAGAGTTAGATCTTGATCTTAACACTTACACGCTACAAACAAATTCATCGATTTATCACACAGGCAGAAATAATCTTTTCAGAATCTCAGAATTGGTGTCCAGACATCGCTTAGAAGCACTAATGTTTAGTCTCATGTGCATTTTAATTTGATGCAAGGTTCTTTTGGAGGCATAGTTTTAAAGGTTTGTGTAGAGTTCAGGTTTTTGACGTATAGTGGGAGGCTGTTCCAGTCTCTTAATGTATTTGGTATGAAGCTGTTCAAGTACGCGTTTGTTCGGCATTGTAGTGGGACTAGACGATTGGTATTCTCTCTCACAGATCTTGGTGCTTCATGAACATAATCGGGGATATCCACAGCAGCTTTGACAGCCTAAATACCCGACAACACTAACAGTGATTTCTTCAACTACCTTAATCTAAAATTTAAAACTCTTGACTTGACTTTGAGTCTCAACTTTATAAACATGATAAACTTGCTAAAATAACAATTTAATTTCTAATCTTTGTCATTTTTTCTGAATAAATAGTTGTGAATTCTGAATTGAACAAAAACTGTTAATTTAACAAAAATTGTGAATTCTGACCCGGAATAACACAACATTTTCACGTCATTTCAACACACATGCACTGCAAAATTAATGTAGCAGAATATAAGGGACCCTTGCCAACTTTTGCTGCCCGGTGCATCGGGGAGGATTGAAGGACCAATTTGCATCTGCTCAACTTATCTTTCCCTGCAAAAGCCCAGCTGCTCCATTCATTACCCATGCAGATTTGACTTCTCACACACATGTACTCTCCTCACTCGCGCGGGCACACAAAGTCCATCACAAATTTCTTCAAACTTTCTCAATGATTAGGACCCAAAATGAATTGCAAATTAAGTAGACTTACCTAAATGACGCTTTTCAAAACAACAAAATTAGGGATTTGAAGCTAGATGTTTCAAGTCTCATGAAATTTCTCTGAAAAACATGATTTTCTCAAAGTAATTTCGCCGGTTCGTCGTCGAACCAGTGTCAGTCCAAGTTTCGTTTGCGCATGCGCTAAATTAACGAAGCTTGATTTTGTTCCTTTCTTTATTGCGCCCTCTTTCATTTGAAAACTTATAGATGATCATAAATCTTGCCATAATAATTACTCTTGGAAAACATTAATTCTATTTCATTTTTTCAGCCCTATTTTTCTCTCATTCTCCATCAAAAGCATTTTTGGCAGAGCCCTCGGCTTTACTGGACATTTTGGTAACACACATGGTATCCCTCCGTTCATGGAGTGGGAGGGGGGGGGGGGGCGGGGGTCAGCTAGTAATTTACTTTTTACGACGAAATTATTGTTAGTTGTATATTGCATTTAAGTGCTCCTAAATATAGAAACAGGGACAATTAGGGCACGATATAACCCCCCTCCCCCTTATATGTCTATCATCTTGTTTCTTCAAATTTGTTTCTACTTTTTTTTTTGTACTTCTTCTTTAGAATCATTTTCTTGAACTGGATGACTTCGGTAATTCGTGGATCAGCTCTTTTCTGTTGACGCTCTATTCATAAAATTAGTTGACTTTCTCTATTCAAAATTAAATCCTTTTATTCCATTGCATGCGGATGAATTGTACAGGGGGTTCAACTCCGCTTCTGCATCCGTCTAGCCTGAGGGTCAAAAAGTGTACGCTGCTTCCACTTATCATGTATTAGCCTATGAAGACGACACATAGGAATTTTGGCCTGCGCGCAGCATGTAAAAAGTGCAAATTAATTTATTTAATATTCATGATTTTAGTTGAGCCTCTAGTCCATACGGAAGATGATCGAATCTCTTTGAATTATACTTGGGGCGCCCCCATGCATGTCGCATCCCTGTGAGTGTTATATGATTTTGCCATGATCACGAGATAAAATAAATTGTTTTCTGAAATTCAAAATGTCAAGGGATTCAACTCATACATGCTTAACTGACTCTTGAAGCAGCTATCCCACCTGGGTAATGGGGCATGGGGTGGGGTAGTTACAGGCCTCGCGTTTTTCAAATTAAGTGGGGGGGGGGGGGGGGAGGCCGGGGGCTAAAGTATTTACGATCAGGTAGAGCGGAGCGTAAATTAATTGGCGTGGGGTCCAGAGGAAAAGCTCTGGCGGGGATTCAGGGAGCGGAGCCCCCGGAAGCTCATGGGTTTAAATAATTACAGACAGATGAGCATATTTTGATAGGTCTACCTTATTTGTGACACTGGCAGGTCACTGGCAGGTCGTTAATGCCGTAAATGATGGAAGCAATATTTCATTCGATTTCAGACACTTGCTAAAGATTAGAACATTTAACGTTGACCCTTTATTTTTACGAGTACATTTTATAGGTGAAACATACATTTCTGTTTAAAATATAATACAAACGACTGAAGCGAGTACCATATCTACGGAAGTGTTAAAGTGCCATTCTACTTGACGACATGACGAGATATTTCATCTTGTCAAGTCGACTTAATATCCATATCATGTCGACAGGTAAAGATATTTAACCTACCATGTCGACTTATCAACTTTTATTAGTCGACATGGCGAAACAAATTATCTTGCCAAGTCGACGTCACAAAAAGTTCCTGTCGTCATGGCGACATAAGTTATCTTACCAAGTCGACTTCTAAAAAATTACATGTCGTCATGGCGACATATATTATCTTACCAAGTCGACTACCCAAAAAGTAATGTCGACATGGCGAAATAAATTATCTTGCCAAGTCGACTTCACAAAACGTTCATGTCGTCATGGCGACATGTATTATCTTGCCAAGTCGACTTCACAAAAAAGTTCATCTCGTAATAGCGACATAAATCAAGTCGACTTCCCAAAAAGTATATGTCGTCATGGCGAGATATGTAGTGTGACGACTATTTCATGCAGCGCGCGTACGTGTAGTTCATTCACAGTCGACTAGTCTAGGTCTAGTGACTTCTTAAAACTGACTCCACGTGATCATTTATGTCGCCAAGACGACATCTACTGTTAAGTCGACTCGGTAACATATTTTATCTCGCCATGACAACATGTAATTCTTACGAAGTCGACTTGGCAAGATATTTTTATTTCGCCATGACGACATATACTTTTTGGGAAGTCGACTGGGTAAGATAATTTATGTCGCCATGACGACATGAACTTTATGCGAAGTCAACTTGGCAAGATAACTTATGTCGCCATGACGACATGAACTTTTTGTGAAGTCGACATGGTAAGTTAAATATTTATACATGTCGACATGATATGAATAATAAGTCAACTTGACAAGATGTAATATCTCGTCATGTCGTCAAGTAGAATGGCACTTATTAAGATGGTGATGATGATGAACAGCATTTTTATGGCGCCATAATATATCTGTTTAAAAAAACATTCAAAGGCGCGAGCTCCTCCAATAAAATTAGCATTTAAATGTCTGAAGGAAGATGTGAGTTCTTTTAGTGAAGCTTTGAAGTGGTCCAGGTTGTCAATTTCGCGGATAGATGATGGGAGGGAATCCCATAGGCGAGGTTTCCATATTCCTAAAGAAAAGGTTGAGTTCTGTGAAGAGGAACAAAATAATTTGTGAGCGTTATCATTGTCATTATGCAAGTTTGGAAGAACATCAGATAAAACATTCTCCCTGAAAAGCATGGCTCTTCAAATACCTTCACATTCAAAATATGGCATTTAAAGGTTCTATGTCCCATTTGCAGTCCTAAAAAAGTTAAAAGGTTGAATTCCAACAGCATTTTTTGTAAGACAATACTAATTTAGGACTTACCTAAAAAAGAGGGAGCTTGAAAATATTTTTAGTGGGAAAATAACGACAATAAGTTGTCGAATCGACTTATGAGACATAAAGCCAGTAAGTAATAGTCTGATTTTTCAGACCATTGTACCGAATGGTTGTACGTTTTATGCTGCGCAAAGATTCAATTCGTTTATTTTTTGCCATTACCAGAAGGGGATTATTGATGTAGACAAATGCTCATGTACTCTTTACAGCTCATTTTATGTATGTCATTACCAAAATAAAAAAAGCCATTCAGTCACTCAATAGTGTCTGACAGTGAAGTCTAGCAAGTAAACGGGTTTCCTTGCATAATATGAATATTAGGACACTGCTAACGTTTAAATTTCACAGATAGGACATAGTACATGACATATTCATAATTCCTGCAAAGTTCTACAAAATTGTATGCTGGCTGCAAAAGGGACATAGTATCTTTAATAGCATAAAAATCGGGACGGATTTTTATGCCACGTGTTCGTGTAGTCCCATATACATATTTATGTATACAGTGCTTGAAACTTTACCTAGACTCGGCCAAATTTCTTATCATTTTGATCGATTACACACCGTTTCTTTCACAATGCAATCGCACGACCAGAACTCAACTTTACCTTTAACAGCTAAATTAACACCCAGATGAAGAAAAGAGCAAACCTAAAGTAACGACGTTGGCCACGATAGCTATCATTTGATTTGGAACAGGGTTGTTGTTTTAAGAATAGGAAACAAATTACGTAATATCTTCTAGAATCTGGCTCCTTGCAAGTACCACTGTCAATATGAATTGAACGGGACTTCAGAAAGGCTGGAAGTTGAATTTTGGATTGGTGTATACGAATAGGCCTATTCTGAATAAGAAAATATCCACTAGCGCGTATAGCGTGGTGAAAAACGAAGACCGTCTCTGTCCTAAGCAGTGCCACAAAATGTATCGTCGAACTTTGACCTAAGCGTATAGAATATATCATATTTTACATCATTGGTCAATAGTTGAAAACGCACGTAATGTCACTAATTGAAGACTTTTAGGCACTTTAGATGATAATTATGCATTCGCATGATTGACTAAGTCTAAGATGCTCATTGATATTAATAGGGCCTGCCTCAGTAAAACACGAGGTTTAGGTAAATGTATCATTTTGTTTTTAACAATTAATTAACGTAATTTAATGCTAATCATGTCTGACTTTTTCACATTTTTTGTCCTTGTCGTAGATCTCTTTACGCCTGAGCCTTTTTAACAACCAAGCCCCGGCGTTCCGTGGGCCCTGGCTGACATAATTATTATAATATCAATACAATCACAACTTCACAATAGCTTTCACATACCTCCTGCATGTATGCTCACATTCAATACTTTTGATGACTCGGTCTTTCACTTCTTTTGACACAACACAAAGAAATATTTTCTGGAAATGTATACATTACTTCAAGTTTATTCCTTCCATTATCTTTGAGAAAACATAATTGAAATAAACACGAAATATGTAACATAGTTTGAATTGAACATGATAACTGGTATAATTTCATCATAATAATAATTAGGCCTATGCTTTTATAGCGCAATAATGACGGAATGTCTCTATGCTGTTACAAAGATAATAAAGAAAGTTAATTAATCTACTATGAAAGAACCACAGCCCTACACTGCAAAAACAGGGTGTTCAATTTCTATTGAATTTTGTTGACACCATTGGTGTTATTTTTAACACCGGTCAGATTTAAGCATGCATTGATAATTACTTGGTGTTAAGTAACATGGTGTTGTTTTATGCTCGGTGTTGAAAGTATCATCACGTGATTTCGTTTAAGGTGGTTGATTGGTCGAATAAGTTTTCACAAAGTGTACGCGCGCTTAATGATTACTTTACACGTGTTCACAGAAGAATACATTTCTCATGATTTGTTAAGCAAATTATGACAATGCACATTAATTTTGTGATTTGTATTTTCCTTTGGCTTATTGACCAATAAATTATTTGTCCGATCTTGTTACGATTACATTAACGTTTTAGCAATAGATATATTGATTATAAGATTACTAACCAAGAAACAACATGCATATTTATTGTATATTCGTGTACCAGCCTGCATCATTTAAATGTTAATCTTGAAATTACTTCAAATGATCTATGTGATGGAGTTAATGCAATGGAGATTAGAATATACCTATTGGTGGACAGTTGCAAACATCGATTATGAATTATCAGTTTACATTGGTTCTTCTACCCTGGTCGATAATGGTCG